CCTCTTCCTTCAGCATCTCCATGTCTGGAGACCAGAGAAAAGCACCAAGTCGAGCTGCTGCCTGCTGACAGAGCTGCTCTCCTCGGAGTGAGCACCTGAGGGCTCTGGCCCTGCCAGGGGTGTTGTTGCTGCGGTTACCCGTCCACATCACAATGGCCTCTGTGCTGCCCAGCCATCACAAAGGCCTGGCTGTGGCTGTGGGCCCACAGAGGCCCAATTGCTCGCAGCTGCCCTAGGGATGGCAGCTGGCGTGCCCACAGGGAGGCCCGGGTCAGCAGGGTCCCCTGTGTTCTTCTGCCATGCCTCCCTTTGCTCAGCCCCGTGCTCCTCTGTGGGCTCTGCCGTACCTCCGACACTCCCATGTGCTGGGCACCCGAGACTGGGCACAGCTCTCTCAAGGCCGCCCGTGCTGGTGAAGTCTTTCCACCTAAAGCATGTCCTGTATCACCAGGGTGCTGCCCTCGTCCAGCAGTGCCCTTCCAGTCGCACTCCATTCCTGTTTTTGGAGCTGCTGGTTCCCACTGTCCCACAGGGGGGGTCTGCCCCCATGTCTGGACTAGCATCCACCTTCTCAAGCCATCTCTTGCTAAAGAATCATAGAATGGCCTGGGTTGGAAAGGCCCACAGTGATCATCTGCTTTCAACCCCCTGCTGTGTGCAGGGTCGCCAACCAGCAGACCAGGCTGCCCAGAGCCACGTCCAGCCTGGCCTTGAATGCCTCCAGGGATGGGGCATCCACAGCCTGCTTGGGCAACCTGTTCCAGTGCCTCACCTCCCTCTGTGTGACAAACTTCCTCCTCAGATCCAAGCTAAACCTCCCCTGTGTCAGTTGAAAACCACTCCTTGTCCTGTCACTATCCACCCCATAAACAGCCATTCTCCCTCCTGTTTGTACGCTCCCTTCGAGTACTGGAAAGCCACAATAAAGTCTCCCTGGATCCTTCTCCAAGCTAAACAAGCTCTGTTCCTTCAGCCTTTCTTCAGGGGAGAGCTGCTTCAGCCCTCTGGTCATCACAGTGCCCGCCCTCCCTTTCTGTGTGCACCCTGGAAGGTGGTACCTACAGCCTGTCTCTGGTTCTCAGTGCCCAGTCGACAGAAATGCAATACCTGTGAGCAGAGCGCATGGAGCTGCAGTCAGGTGTTCTACTCAAAAACTTGATCAGGTCTCTTGTACCGGAGAAAAACATCCCCCGCTCCACATCACGCCTCACTCATGCCATGGCTGCTTGGCAGGACGTGCATGCGTGAGCAGCTGCTCTCAAGGGTGAAGCACAGCAGGAGTAAAACTTGATCTAAACTCTCTGAGCAGCACCTCGAGAGCTCCCTGAGAGCTGCTGAGATGGCCATCAAGCCCGAGTGACACCTTGGTTTGTGGGAAACCGAGGCAGCCCCTCTTCTGTGGGGGCAGCCCGGGCAAGCCAAAAGGCTGGGCACCCACAGATTAGCTGCTGTCTTCCCACGGAGGAAATACACACCCATAAATAGTGGAGTTCCTGGCAACCGTCGGCGTGTAGTTTAGCTCCCATGCAGACCTGGAAATTGCCTCTGCCATTAGCAGCAGAGCATTTGTGCCAAAAGCAGGCAGAGGACGTCTTCTTCAGTGGCTGGTTAGAAGCACAGGAAAGTCCTAGCAAACGCAGCCTCATCAAGGTTCTGGTGTGTTTTGTGAGCAGAAGCGGAGCAGAGGGGCCACTCTCAAGCAAGTCACTGCTGTTGCCCGACTGCACAGCCCTCAGGCACTGCCCGCGTCTCCTCTCCCCTCCTGCTCTCTGCCTCCTGCTCCCTTCTTCTGAATCCACTCCTGGTGACCCCCAGCTTACAACAAGGGAATGCCTCTCTGTTTGCATCGTTATCATTTTTGGTTAAAATCACGGGAGCGCAACTCAAAGAAGTTCACAAAGCTGTTTCTGCTGAAAGAGCAGGCTCCCCATCCGCACCGCCCCAAGCTGGAAAGCCCACCTTGAGAAACCATTTCCTGCACTGTCATGATCAAAAACTAAATCTTGACACCCAGCCGAGGTGTCCTGTAATTAGAGGTGGTACAAATCACTCTCTGGTGCCATTTTGCGTAGTTCTAGTTTTAATACAATCAATATCCTGCAGAAAATAGCTCTGGGTCTCCAAAGTGATTATTTGCTCCAGAACAGTCACATTTAAACTCTTATCATCAGACAGTCCCTGTTCTGACCAGAGCCATGTCCAGCCTGGCATTGAATGTCTCCAGGGATGGCGCATCCACAGCCTGCTTGGGCAACCTGTTCCAGTGCCTCACCTCCCTCTGAGTGAATCGTGAGGGATACATTAATATGTCTGGCCCCAGAAGTAAGTGCATCTGTTGACCTTGTTTAGTTGGGTAAAAGTTAAAGCAGCCAATTGCTGCTGGGGAGCTTTATGCAAATAAATAAATAAATAAATAAAAAATAAAAAAATCAAAACACCGCCTTTCTAAAAACAATTCAGACATGGTCAACCTTATGGCTTCAGCAGAAGCAGCAGTGTAAGAGTTCCCATGAACCCTGCCTAACCTCTGAGATTTATTGATAACTGAAAAAGTATGGGGCCGGGCCCTGAAACCCTTACTTAGGCACTAATATTGGTGTGTTAGCGAGAACCCCAGGGCTGAGCTCAGGATGTTTACCACTTTTAGAGATTTCTAGGAAAATGTACTTGAAACAGTTAAAAAAAAAAAAAAAAAAAAGAAAAGGGGGAGAAACCTGAGGTTTTCACTCTGACTGCCAGAACCGTTGTGGTTTGTGCATTAAAGCAAGCACAGTGTGCAGCCTGTTGCCCTGCTCAGTCAGTCTGCCCGGGCATTAATGGCACTTTGTGTGAGCATCTGTATGTGTGCTCTGCCATTTTGGGTGGCGGTGACAAGCTGAGCGTTTTCCTTTGGCAGATTTTGAAGGAAGGGTTTGAGTTGTGCATGTTGAGATGATGTCAGACAGACGGAAATGATGCTGTGTGCTGTGTAAATGATGCTGTGTGCTATCTAATTCTGACACATTTTTTGGTACAGGGGCTTTTGAGACATCTATCACTCTACAATAATAATGAATCTTTTTTTTTTTTTAAGGAAATTGCATTGTAATTGAAATTAAATGTCCCAAAAAATAGCAGTAAAATGATCTCAACATTGAGATATATATCTATAGATAAGCATTTAGCTATGCTTTCCAAGTTTCTTTTTTCCCTTAGTCTCGAAGTACATGTAAATTAATTCCTCTTACATCATTTCCTTTAGGTTTAGATAACCTTTTTGTGAGGGTAAGCCTTCAGCCCTTAGTGTGACTGCACACCAGCTTTTGTGTGGAGGATGAGGCTCTCTAGCTTAATGCAGCCAAGAAACGTGGAAACTCTTTTACAAAGATGTGATAACAGTTATTGGAAGTAACTTGAAGCAAGTTGAGAGCTGGATTGAACCAACAAGAACGTGTCTTCATTGCTCCTTTACTCTCCACATATGTGCACATAGTTACCATAGCATGCTGCTTTACTTGGTCAGGAAGCATTTATTGCAGATGAGCTTGTGCATGCGAGTGGTGGCGTATGGGCCAATGGGTTTTGCACACTGGAAAGGAAACTTTGCATGGTACAGGGCAGATGTTGCCCTGAGACAAGGTTCTGCAAGGGCTGAGCTCCTCTCGTCCACCAGTCAGCACCATTGCAGACCTGGGAGCTTAATGGAGAGGGGCAATCTGAGTAGGTCTTCTACACTGAAATAAAACTGAATGCCATGAAAACTGGACTCTGAATGCTCTGTATGAAGTGCAGTGGTATTGATTTTTATTTTTTTTTTAGTAAAGAAATTTGTCTCAATGCAGCATTGTAATTACAAAAATCAGTCGATTCTTGTCATGGCCCTCTGCAGGATGCAGAGCGATCTGAGGGCACCCAGCAGCCTGCTCACCTGCTCCTGGAGGCACCTTGTGGTGCCAGCATGGTGTGTGTGCCTGTGTTCTGTGGCAAGCCCCTCGCTGTATTGCCATGCACACAGTGCCTGGAAGTGCTCACAGTGGCCTGCAGCGGTGGCTGTGGCAGTGTGGAGGAAGCAGGCTGCCATTCGCCTTCCTCCCGGCGTCTGATGGTGCAGAAATCCCCGCGCTCTGCTTTTTGAGAAAAAGCTTTGCAGTCCCAGGGTGTTCCCGGAGATCGAGGGCACTTGCAAATAAACAAAATTCAGCAGGGTTCAGTTGTCTGTAAAAGAAAACATGACTGTGACAGATCACTCAGAAACGAGGCATCACTTTTCTTTGATGCAGAATTGCTTAGTCGTTGAAATAATACTTGTGTGCAGTTGTGTACAGGCAGGACCTGAGTTGTAAAGTTACATCAACTGAGCTTTTAATTTTGCAGGTGTAAATTGGACCTGCAAATCATTTAGTCTCCAAATTGCAGCCGTTCATATCTGATTTCCTATGGCTTGCTTACTTAGCTGATGCCTGTTAGATGTTTTAATGCACAGCTTTTCAGGCACCACTATTTAAAGAACAAAATTGCAGTCTTAAAGCTTCAGACTCATTTCTGAACGTTTAATGTAAGGGAGAAATTAGGATGCATAGCCAGTCCTCTGCCCATGCAAATCTTTTGATACCATCCTTCAGTGTGAGATTAGTGCTGGTTATCAGGAGAAAGCACTATGCTTTGCATGTATGGAGTAACTTGTTCTTGCCTAGCCAAGAAACTGTGCACTTTGTAGCAAGATGCCTGATTGCATTTCTAGTACACGTTCTTGTGAACCAATGGTTGTCAGTCTTCGTATTGAGTTTGCTCTTTTTATAGCTTTATTCCTTCCTTTTCCTCACGGTCTTCAAAAAACTTTTGTTTTAAGAAGCCAGAAAGTGCATACAGCTTTAGTGGCTGCACCTCCTCCATTGCAGTTGGATGAAGAGCCATAAACTCCTCTGATATTATGCTCCAACAGCCCTGTTAAATGCATCATTAGCTATTGTGTATTTAGTTTGCATGCCTGTTTTGCTTACAGTATTTTGTTATTTTAACAGGGCCGCCATGTTAAGACTGGGCAACTAGCTGCAATCAAAGTGATGAATGTTACTGAGGTGAGTAGAGAACCAAAAATCAAAAAGCAATTATCAAGGTGTAAGAGAAAATAAAGAATCAGATCGTGAGAATGTGGATAGCTTATGAAAGATAATCTGGTGGTATAAATTATGGTCGCTGAGCAGTAGTTTGTTTTTTGAAGTTCTGAGGTGTTAGTGCAACCAGAATTTCAATTGTACCTGTCCAGTGGGGACAAAGCAATAAGGAATACATTTCTGTATGTTTTTTTGCTCTAAAGTAATGAAGAGAGCTGTCTTCCCAAGACAGCACGTAAAAGATTTCCTGTAGCTGTGCAATGCCCCTATTGTGTTTTATCACATCCTCTCCCTTCACATGCCAGCCATTCCTCAGTGTAGCTACCGTGACAGCAAGCAAGTAAGAACATGTTAGAAATGCAAATGTAGCACTTCTTTATTGTTATCTGACAGATGAGAGAAGCAGACAGCGTAATTGGCACTGTCCCTGCTCACATTTATAAAGTGGTGTCAGTGCTGGAACAAGGTGTCAAAAAAATTAGCTAAGTATTGATTTTTGTTTCTGAGCACAGCTAGTAGTGAAGCAGCTTGCCTTCTTGAAATCTTACGCTCCTGTGCCCCAGAAGGACTGGAATGAGCCTGCACCCTCTCCTCAAAGTGTGCTGGAATGTTGGTTCCATGGAGTACACCCGTTTGCATGGATGACCAGCTCCCCATTTTCTTGCTCTGGCAGCGCGAACGTGGTGCATAAAACTCCAAGATAAAGTTGGTCTTCTTGGGAAGTTGTGGAAGGGTCATAGCCCAAGATAAGAAATAGGTCCTCTGGGCCAAGTCTGCCAGTGGTACAACTATGTGGAGCATTTTGAGCAAGCATCAACAAGCTCTGTCTATGTTTTTATGTCTTCTGCCTGTCTTGGAAGGCAACAGAGCAAGTTAGTCCATGTGAGCATTGTCACGTAGAGCAGGTCCAGGCCAGGTGTCTCTGCTGATGGAATGGGAATCCAGCCCTGAACAGCGAGTGGTCTGAATTGCATGCTGGTTGATGTGCTGTAGCACTGCTATGAGGAATGTCCAAGGGCTGGTTTGTCTATGACTACTACCTTGTAAAAAGAAACGTGTGGTTGGACAAAGGAATCCACAGAACAGATCCTATGTGGGACTCAGAAGTGAGCCAGAGCTTCTGTGCAGATGGCTTTCACGCCTTGCTGGGTCAGCCAGCATTGTTTGAAGGCTAGTCACAGATGTCACTTGTAGGCTGTCATGTTCACACCAGTGACAGTCCCTTCCTTGATGTAACAAATGAAGCAAAAACTTCAGGAAGGGAACCTTGGGAAGATTTCCTTTGCTGTACATAACAGTCTCCTTTGTATGTAAGCAACGCAATGCAGCATCCAGTAGTGCCTACGTGCATGGACACAAAATTTAGATGGAAGAAAGCCTTGGAAAGCTTCAGGAATTCACATTGCATGATTCTGGGGACAAAACACAGCTGCTCAGGTTTGATTTGCTACTTCTCTGTGGGCTGGAAAGTCAGCACCTCCCTGGGGAATCTGTCCCATTGCAAGAGGGGCTTAACAGCAGTGACAGCTCGTGCTGTTTTCACGTTGAATCACTTAACACAAAAGCAGTTGTGACAGTTTAAGAGCTTAATAGTGAGCGTGCTGATAAACTAAGGCTGCTCTGGTTCACTGCTTGCCTTCTGAGCTGGTCTGTCTGATCAGGGTCCGTGCTTCTGGCCCTCTGTACTGCAGATTGGCTGAAGCTGGTGCCTGCTCTGCTGCTGCAGGCAGTAGGAGCATGGGTGCAGCATGGCTGAGGCTGGTGCTAAATGAGTCCACAGCATCTCTGAACCTCACTTCTCTGCCTCTAAAATAGGAATAGCCTTCCTCTGCTTCACAGTGTGTGGGCACTGAGGCAATAGACTGAACTGTAATGCAGAAATCCAGTGTGATCAATTCAGAGCCTGCCAAAGATTCAGTGTTTCTCTTGTGTTGTTAGTCTGCTCAGGTTGAAATTATTTTCTGTTCCTTTGGGCTTGAAAAGCTGGCTTGAGGCATTAAATAAAGCCTTTAAAATATTGAAATCCTCATCTTCAGTGTCCTGCATATAAATTGCACCTGAGAGCAACATCTCACAGTTTGGTTTGTGAGAAATGGAAGCTGTCATAGTAATCCTGCCTGAGTGAGTTGGGAGGCTTCTAGCCCCTCTGGTCATTTTCATCTTTGGGTAGTGACTGAATGTGCTTCACTGGGAGCAGCTTTCTTGTGGAGCAAAATTTCATGTAATGGAAGACAGGTAGATGTTTAAAGAAACCTGGACAAATGCAGTCTTTTTACCTTCATCTCTGTCCAAAAGCTAAAAGTGGAGAAGAGCTGAATGCCTGTAACAGCCTGGAGATTTGAATGCCTGCTTTCAAGACTCTTCATTTCAAGCCTCCAGGAGACATCTCTCTTAGGGCAGTTCCAGTCACCAGGTCTACACTTGTCAGTGTAGATTGGTGGCAGTTTGATCAGCAGCCCACAGCACTGCTCAGCAATTGGTCGTTGTTATCTGACATGAGAGAGAAGGGTGTTGAACAAGGATATCAATCATATCAAGAGAGCCTGGGGCACTTCTACACCTCTTCGATGTTCTGCAGTGGATTTTTCTCCCCCAGCATTCTGTTTTCACTACAAAATCCAACCCAAGGAGTCTTCCAGCTCATGCTTCATCATAACTGGTACATCTCAGCCAGATGTTTCACCAAATCTGCGTTGTTTGTTGTTTGGTTGTTTTTTTTTTTTTTTTCTGGCAATAAACTATTTCATCAGAAAACCACTGCCCAGCTTCAGCTGTGATTATTCAGCTCTGAGATCTGAGGCTTATCAGGAGCTGAGCAAATCTGCCCTTTGCTGCTGCAAGTTCTAGCCCCGGGCTGCTTTCTGAAGAGGAGCAGCAGGATGCTGTGGTCACTGTGGGATCTTATGGACATCTGTCAGGAAGTGCTGCAGTGTCACATTTTGCTGGGGGAAGTTGCAGGGTGGAGAGCCTTTGAAATCGTTGAGTGGAGCTGATGGCGGTGTGCTTTCCTGGGTCTCTGCGCAGGCTGAGCTTCCTGCTTGCTGGCTGTGCCAAGTAAACAGAGGATGCATGGAGAGATGGGATCCTTGATGATCCTTGCTGCTTTTCTCTTCGGGTGTCAGTGCAGCTGGTCAAGGGGCTCTTCTGCAGCAGGCCGTTCCCTGCCGTTGTTTTCAGGCTTTGCTGATAGTGAAATAATGTGTGAAGAGAAACCTGTCATTAGTACCCCCAGCACCGAGGGATCTTTTGGTGGAGTACTTACCAGCTGATGATTTTGTTTCTGCCTGAGGTCAGAGGCATGTGCTTTCTCATTTGTTGCTTCTTAGTGTCATTGCCTTTGATTGTGAGCTTGTCATCTTTGTGCCTGCAGTCATCTGCACCCAGAACTGCATCGGTTTTGAAAGCCAGCAGCTTTTTGCACCTGCACATCTGTGAGCTTGTTTCTTCTCTTAAGCACATGAGTCACGAGCAGGTTCCAGACCCCTGGGAGATGTGGCTTATGTGGCACTAACAGACGGGGTGGTGGAAAGTGGAATTCCCGAATACCTTTGTGCACTGAAAAGCTGAAGGGTGCCTTTGTCTCCAGTCGCTCTGTCCTCACCTGCCTATTTCAATTTTTCACATGCACAGTTTGGAGTCTCAGAGGGAGCAGGGCTTTGTTTTCCCTCCAGAAGGCAAGAGCACAAGCTCCCTTTGATCTGGGCCTGGCTACACACAGACAGAAATACGACCTTGCGTATTTCCTGGGTTTCCTGCATGCTGTCTGGGAGACAGCTCTGATTTCTCTTGGATGCTCCAGATGCTACTCCAGCCTTGTCCTTACCCTTTCTAAGTTGTATGACACCCAGGGTCCTATTAAGCCGAAGATTAAAGGTTTTCCTTTGTCCTTAATTGCAAACAAGACAAATTAAGTACCTGGTGTAATAAGTGTGTCTTGAGAGTCTTTGTTCAGCAGAGAGGCTCTTCTGAAACCAGAAATAGCTGCTTTTGCTTCAAGTTGAGTTATTTCACATTTCCCTTTTCCTAAAACTTAAGAAAGTTGGGCTTTGGTTTGGCAGCACATCTCCTGTGTATTGAAGCTATTAGGGAAGTTCTTGTCTATTCCTGCTGGGAATGCTTTTTTCAGGTCAGATTTAATAAGATGTTTGAGGGAATTTGGTTTCAGCCTGCCAGGCTTCAGTGTTTTGGTACAGGTTGAGGGGACAGTGCAGCCAGTTTTGTAAGCACTCTGTTGTGATGGCTAAAAGAAAGCTTCAATGGCAAAGTGACTGGAAAACAGTGAGAAAGTGCAGAAGAATGTCCTGTGGGTCTGAACTATTCTTGCTGCTTCCTTTTTTTCCCTTCAGCTAGTAAGTGCTGACTGGAATGTTTTGCAGCAAGGTAAATTAATTTTCAACTTGGTCTTACTCCCTTTAACTGATGCATGGATACCTGGCAGTGCTATGCGTTTCCTAATAAAGCAAATGAGACAGCAAAATCTACAGACATTTCACAGAGTGTTGTGCACCATTTCTCTCAGGGACAGTAAAACAAACAGGCTGCTCTGAGAGGACCTCTTGAAAAAAGACCTCACTGAAAAATGCTGTTTCCTTATAGGGCGGTTGTAAAACTATTCCCATTAGCACCCACAGCGTTGGCTGGACTGACAGCACCAGGCTCCACTCCCCAGCACTCGGCCAATGGCTTGATGTGGGGCACACTGTGACTGTGTGGGGTGTGGGGCTGCTGGAAAGGGGGCAAGCCCTGGCCCTGGAGGCCAACGTGTGGCCGTGAGTTGTTCTGCTGTAGTTTCCTCTCAGCTGGGCCCTTGGTGGCAGTGGGAAGATGAATTGGTTGATGTGTGCTCTCAAGTACTTTCTGAGTATTCACATAATGGAGTGTTAGAAATATTTTTATCTGTTTAAGTCCAGTTCATTTCTCCAAGACTAAATTACTGCATACTGGAACTGCGAACGGGATCCTGGCTTATTTATCCTGTCTAGTCCCATGAGGGGATGATGTGATTTTCTTATAACCATATGGGGATATTTTTGATTCTCTAGCTCAATCCTAGGCAAAAGGATCCGAATGATTCCATGCTCAGTTATGAGCTGTCTTTGGACTGCAGTCTGATAGAACAATTCTTGTTGGAGAGGCCTCAGGACTCCAGCCCAAACTCCTGCCCAAAGCAGGGTGGGTTGCTTGGGGCTTGTTTCATTGGGGTCCCAAACGTTGCCAAAGCTGGAGTGTGCATAGCCTTGGTGGCCTCTCTGCACTTCAAGAGCCTTCTGTTCTCTTCTGACACAGAATGAAGAGGAGGAAATCAAGTTGGAGATAAATATGCTAAAAAAATATTCCCATCATCGGAATATTGCTACATATTATGGTGCGTTTGTAAAGAAGAGTCCTGCAGGCCAAGATGATCAGCTCTGGGTAAGTGCTTTGTGTTGTGTTCATTGCATGTCCAGCTCCTTTCTTTAGAGCTCCAATGTACTTGCCTCAGACCTTGTCTTGGTGGAATGTTGAAGTCATCGTTCTGAGAAGTAATAAAAAAGAAACATCCCTCTTCCTTTACACACAGAATCACAGAATCACAAGGTTTGGGAGGGACCTCAAGAGATTGAATCCAACCCCCCTGCTAAAGCAGGTTCCCTACAATAAATTGCACAGGTGGGCGTTGAGACGAGTCTTGAATATCTCCATAGGAGACTCCAGCACGTTCTGGGCAGCCCATTCCAGTACTGCATCACCCTTACCGTAAAGAAATTCTTCCACATGTTTGTATGGAACTTCCTATGATCAAGTTTTAGGCCGCTGCTCCCTGTCCTTTCACTGCACACAACCGAGACGAGGCTGGCCTCATCCATTTGCTTCCCACCTCCCTTAAGAGGAAGAGCATAAAGTATAATAGCTGTGACTTAGGTTGTTGATCAGATTTGTTGTTAGAACTTTCCTTTCCCAAATTAAATGTTTCCGTCTTTTTTTAACAGTGATGAAATAGAACTTGTCTTTTCCTCTCCCCTCTTTTTCCTTGTCACTTTCTACATTCTTTTCCAGTTGAAAAATAAAAAAGCAAACAGAGGAGCTGGCGATGAAGCAAAGAAAAATAATTTCTCAATTTTTTTTTGTCTGCAAGAGATCTGCAGCAAGATGAGATATTTTAAATTTTGAAAAAAAATCCCACCTTTGTTAGTGCTATTTTTGTTCTTGGTTTTCTTCTGATTCACGTTTTTACTAGAAAGAAAATGTTTACCCTTGACCTGTAATAGGAGAGGTGCACTCCTGTGTTCTTGTTTGTTATTTATTTATTCAGTGGTGTGCATTGCTCAGGAAATGAGATTTTGCATCATTTGGCACCCAGGAGGGTGGCACATAGTTCACTTCACCTTGTTAGTGGTACAGCAGGCATCACTTTGCTATCTCTGCTGATGCTGTGGTAACGATGTGTTGCATTTGTCTTCCTGCAGCTGGTGATGGAGTACTGTGGTGCTGGCTCTGTCACTGATCTGGTGAAAAAGACAAAAGGGAACTGTTTTAAGGAAGACTGGATTGCATACATCTGCAGAGAGGTTCTCAGGGTGAGTTGTGGACCAGAACTTTGTTGCTCATTTGAAACAAAAAAGCCTTTCCTGGCCCTTGGTCGTTAATGTAAAGCAACAGTTTTTCAAGAATTTGATCCATGGGGCTTGTGAGCTGTGGTCCTTGAGTTCAGAAGAGCCAAAATGTCCATCAGCCTGCATGATGGCTACTTAACATCTTGCAGTACTCCAGTTAATCCCATTTTCTGTATGAAGAGCACATTGATTATTGTCTTCTGTGACAAATACCATCCTCCTCCATATCTTGTGATATTACTACTGCTCACTGCTTTGACTGTTCTTGCTGTGTAAGGTCAGTCTGCTCACAATTCCTTTTCCTGCACACAGTAGGGGACCTTTTTTCTGCACTATTAAAAGCAGTGTTGGCTAAATATCATCTCAAAATTGTAAAGGCAGCCCTGCTGCAGAAATATTCCCCAAGATAATCCTTGCAACTATATTTCATTCTGTGTGTGCTTTGGGATTCTTTTTTAAATTATTTTTGTGTATGTGCTCCTAGAAAGTAGAGAGGATAAAACAGTTCCAAAGTGTAATCTGGTGAACTGGGCTGGAAAAAAAAAAAACAACCATGGTTGAAACCCATCATTGTAAATTCAAAACCCATTACAGACTTACTGATCCATCTTCCATGTAATGGAGTTTTACTTCTTTTCTAAATAATGTTAAGATAACTGCATATTCCAGGAACTAGAATTCAGATAGTGTGCCAAGGTAATGCTTGAGCAGGAGTAAGTCTCTGCTTCTGCAGGTGTTATTGATAAGTATGTTCAGTGGAGAGCATCAGCCATCTCACCTGGATTTGGCATTAGGCTGCATACTGCAGTAACTATAGCTGGAGATTGTGGGGAGAGCTCTTATGCAAAAAAAGAAAAAGAAAATCATGATGGTCTGGTTAAGTTCTTGTGGTTGTGTGGCTGTAATATCTCTGTTAAATCAGTTGATATTAAAACCTTTGATTTACGCTCTTGCAGCAGAAAGTAATAACATCAAGTTTGCCTGAAACAAGCAATTGCATTGAATCATCTTCATGTTAAAACAGAGAATAACTCGTTGCGTCTGGGTTGAAAATGTTTCCTTCTGGAAAACTTAGGAGTTGGGTGGAAGCTGCATTTGAAGTCACTAATACTGTATTACAGAATCCAAGTATTTCAGCAGAGTATCCCTCGTCTTATTATAGTGTATTATTTCATTGTTATATCTCTGCTAGCTTATCCATGAACAGTTTGGGAAAGAAGGAGACAGAATATTGCAAATATTAGCTGAATGACAACTATTCAATATTTGTTGCATTCAACAATAATCTGACATGGTATTTTGAGCTCTCTGTGATCAATTTTTCATTGAATTCAGAGTTTTGCTGTTCTGTTGAAAGTAAAATTTGGCCCAGTGCAGCCAGATACATCCTGTCTCTGCACCTCATTGAGAGCATTCTGCAATGTTCTTCACCAATTATTTTTTTTTAATATTTTTTTTGCTTTTAATATGTGGTGTTGATTCTGAGAGAGAAGTAAAAAATACTGGTACCTCATTTTATTCACACTTTACTTTAGAGATGCTACACTACAGTTGTGCCTTCTGGTTGTCGTCTTCTCTCCTTGCCAAACCTGGGGACTTGATGTTGCTGATCACACGTGAAGGACTTTCTCTGTGAAGTCTGAGAAGGATAAAAGTGTAAAAAGGCAACAATGCCAAGTTCATGATAATGAGAATAAGGGAAGTCTTGCTTTTGTTTTGCTTTATTTTTAGGGCTTGGCACACCTTCACGCTCATCATGTCATCCATCGAGATATTAAAGGACAGAATGTTCTTCTCACAGAAAATGCAGAAGTAAAACTGGGTATGTTTCTGTAAATGTGTGCTACAAACCTGTTTGTTTAAAATTTCTGTCTTACCTTGGAAAGAACTTTCAGGAACCCAAGATGTATCAAATACTGTTAATGCTCTGGTTTACAAAATGTCTGTCAGCTAGAAGAAGGTGAAAACGTGATATATTCCACAGCAGTGTCACTCACAGCCTGTGGGAAATGCAGCTACTTCTAGACAGTCACACAGATAACCTTGTAGTCAGTCAAATCGCCACCAGGTCTTCACAGCAGGCTCCCAGTGTACAAAGGCATCCAAAAAAAAAGCCAACAACAAAAACCCTCACACCAAGAGTAAGTTAAACTGATCCATTTCTCTAAGGGAAACAGGCTTAGAGATTTTCGTAAATCTGAGGATAGGTGAAATTACTCTTCAGTGGTAGCCCTCTCACACGAATAGATCATACTAATACTCATCTCTCAACAATGTCAGCCTGTTTACTCATTTCCTTTTCTAGCTATGATGTGTCAACTGTTAACGACTTCCAGCTTCCTAAGATTAAACTCAAGTAATTATCTCTCTTGAGGAGGATGTCTTTGGTGTTTTTGGAAGATTTCACAGAGGATGCATGGCGGTGATTTAAAGGAGCAGTCTTGAGAACTCTTTTCTTATTTGGGATGATTCTTTGTTTATCCTGTCTTGTCTTCATTTGAAAGAAATCACTACAGAGATGGAGAAGAAGGATATACGTAGCCTATCAGTATGGGATAAGGTGCTTGACTGGAGCAAGCCAAAATAAGGACATTTTTTTTAATCCAAAAAAGAAGTATTGCCAGAGGGTTTTAAATTGAGTGCCAATTAAAGCGGGGAAGCTAGAAAACCAAGAGATCCTCAGTCCGGTTCCATTCCATCTCAGCATGTTATGTAAAAGCACTTTTCACATTTCCCATCAGAAGCACAGAAGGTATGATGAACCCAAAAGTCAGGTCCAGATTTCTGTTGAAGACATTTTGCTGAACAGGGACAACCAGTAATGGTAGTATGTAGTAATGGTATGCAGATGTTCTGTACTGAGGAAACACAGCTGTGAAAATCTTCTCCTTGATGATACGAGAGGACTGCTTCCTTCCAGTTCTTTTCCTTGCTAGTCTATTTTGATTGTTGTTATTTTTTGTTTCCCAGTCTTCTCTGTGAATAGCACTAGATGCTGTGCCTAGTAGATCCAATTAGTGGTTTAGAGGTTTATTGAAAGAAAAATACAATCATGTAACAGTTGGTTTTATGGACCCTTCTTTGTATCTGAGCAACACTGTGTTGCTGTACAGTCCCAAGGAAAGTAATATCCTTTCAGCACAAAGAGCAGGGCACAATTCTCTCATTATAATGAGGCTAAGATCAGAATAAACCAGTGTATTCTCCAGCCTGTTGTAAGCTAGTCTTTGAATGCAGGGAAGGAGTTCTTTGAAATAACTCAAAGTGATATATAAACAAATATATAAGATACATCTAAGCGTGCTTCATACATAGGTACTATTTTTTCCTTTCCAGTACTAGTTAAAAGATCTCAGGTCCTACTCAGGCTTAAACTTCAGTTTTTCCACTTAATTTCAGTTACTGGACAAGATGTACTATGAGAACTTGTATCAGGTTTGATACACATTCTAGCCCAAAAGTTTGGTATCCAAAAAGTATGTATGTAGTTAAGCAAGTGCTCTGCCATATGAATGCAACCCTTTAGTAAATACTTTACCCTTGCTTGGCTTTTCAGTGGATTTTGGTGTAAGCGCCCAACTGGATAGAACCATTGGGAGAAGAAACACTTTTATTGGAACACCATATTGGATGGCACCTGAAGTCATTGCCTGTGAGGAGAACCCAGATTCTACCTATGATTACAGAGTAAGTGTTACAACTTAATATCAGATCGCAAAACACATGAGCTGCTGAAATCCTTCTCAAATTGAGAGAAGAACTCTTGAAAAGTTCAATCTTCCTTTCTTTTAAACCACAATAATGTTGTAACTGTACAAGTAGAATACTTGTAGTATGTGGGTGGTGGCTCTTTTTGAGCGTGGAGTTTCACTATGAGTGGGGTTTCTTTCTAAATTGTTTGTATCTGTAATACATGTTCATTAATCTGTGCAACAAAATACTGATAGATATATGTGGAGGTTACAGGTCAGGATGGAAAAAGAAAGAAAGAGGTAAATTTGTAAGGAATGCTTGACAAACAATGTAATGCTAATGTGGCCAGGTATTACTCTCTTCTGTAAAAGAGCTATTTTACTCTGTACTTAGTTGTAAATCCTGATTTAGTTGGTAATAATTACCATAACTTGTTGCTCATTTATAAACATGCAACTGCAAGTGGTTTTCCGTCCCAGAATGATTTCTGGCTGTTCATGGGATGGCTGAGAGGTGAGGGCAACTCTGGAGGTTGTCCGCTGAAACTCTTACTGAAGCAGAGTCAGCCAGAGCAGGCTGCCCACTTGTGGCTTATGTCCACTCAGGTTTTGAATATATTCAACATTAGAGATCACAGCATCTCCAGGCAACCTGTGCCTGTGTTTGCAAAAGTCACAGTAAATAAGATTTAGGTTTGAACAGAATTTCCTGAATTTCAGTTTGTACCTAGGTGCCTCTTCTCCCTTACTTGGCCACAATGAAAAGAGAAGCGACTGGTTTGATCTTCTTTATTCTTTTCCCATGAGGAATTTGTGCTAAGATCCCCTGAATGGTCCAGGCATTCTCAATCTGAAGCCTCCCAGCTCTAAGCCCCTTATAATCTTTGTGGCCTCTGCTGCACACATGCAGTGCAGATTTGGTCACAGGTGACTTCACCAGTGCTAAGGAGGTGGGAATTGTTAGCTCTCCAGACCCATAGCAGTGCCCTCCTAATGTGGCTGATTACTCACCACCAATTTCTCAACAGAAATGACTGAGTGAATACAGAGGCCTTATCTGCTCTTGTTATATGCACTAGTTCAGTGGTCCCTGACATCATTTTTGCTCTTAAGCAAGCATCTAATGATAACTTACTCATTGAAAGAAGAATTTATCTTTTGAGATGACCAGCATGCTCTGCGTTTTGGATACCGACAACAGCTGTTCATATGCTGTTTCTGGTTCTCCTTTGTTAATGGACTGATGCTGTTCTGAAGAGACTTGTGATTCTTTGTCCTCTGAATTATTTCCAGCAGTGTTGTTGTTTGTTTGCCTACACTTAGACTTCCAGGTGTTCTCCAGGGATGGCTTCCTGAGCAGCCTTTCCCCTGGTCACTCCCTTGGTCCTGGTGTTCTCCTGGTTGCCACTTGGCTGCTCTGACTGTGGCTAGAGAAATTTTATTAGAAGAGCCTGCTATTACCTCTGTTTTCTCCTGTTTCAGGAGCTATGATTCTCACTTGCTGAGACCTTCTTCACTGCACTGTGAAGTCATGTTGTGAGTGGCAGTCATGACCAAAGAATGTTCTTGGATGTTATTTTTCATACCATGTAAATTTCATTCTGAAACCTCAGAAAATGAGGTTGTCTTCATTTTCTGAAACCACTTGATTTTCTTTTTGGAAGATATAAGTGTTAGGGACGTGCATATCTACTTTCCTTGCCTTCACTAACAAACAGCCACACAAACTGCTGTGACTCAGAAGGTGGCACAGGACTGATTTTTCTACAGAGATTTATGGCTGATACGATGGAGAAAGTAGCAGGAAGCCATTCTGTAGTACCTGTAACTTCTTGTTCTATGAAAAAGTGGTTAAAATTATAACAAATCAGTGAAAAAATATATGCATGTGTACCTATACACATCAGTCTTTCAAACACTGCTACCATTTTCCACTGCAGCTGTCTGCCTCTCACACTTTGAAACAAGAAACCACAGTACTTTGCAGCCTGGTTCTTTTTCCCATTATCCCCAGAGCCTGCAATGCTACCTCTAGAAGACTTTTCTAACTTTCTGTCATCTATTTCATAGCAAGTCAGGGTCCCATTATTTATATTCTCAGATGTCTCTACAAACTGTAACACAAACAGCCTCCAGCTTGCATGAAGCAGTTCAGAGCAGCTGAGTTGAGAAGGTTCTGTTGGTAAAGTCAGGTTTAGACAGAGTGCCAAGATGGATATGAGCTGCTAATCTTTGAAGTTTTGTCTTCTCTTGCACCCTTACAAAATCTGCTTTTAAATAAACCCTGCAGGTTAGTTTGGTCACATGCCTCTCATCTAACTGCTTTTGGACACCAAAAAGTAGTAAATACTGTACTTGATTAATCAAGCAGAAGCCTGTGACGTATTTTTTTACAGTCACTGGTCATGATCACAATTAATCTTTCATGATCAAAATCATTTAGCATTCAGATAAGCTGATAATGAAATCTCCAGCCTGAATTTCCTTTCGTGTGCCCAAAAATATGTGACTAGAGACTTTGTGGACAGAAAGTCAGATTATAATTTAAGCTTTGTCAGTGTAGAAACTCAGCAATGACTACTGTGATACAAGCATTAAGACAAAGATTTTTTTGGCCTTGAACAGAGCACGAGGCACTGTTTATAGAATCACCAAGGTTGGAGAAGACCTTCAAGATCATCCAGTGCTGTGTCTCACTGCCTCGCAGCAATAGGTTAAAGATGTAAGCTGTGTAGTTAAATGGTGTCTGCTGTACTCCAATTCTTTTGGGTTTTACGAATGCAAAAGGTTTGCATTTTAGAGCTGGCTGCTTAAATGATGATTCAGCTACTCACAACTGCGTGGGGAATGGGAAGCTTCTGGCTACTAGCACGTTTCTTTCCTAAAAGCTCAGGAGGGGAGGGGAGGGAGCAGAATGTATATTGCTCTCACACGAAAATGACTTGATCCAAGCGAGTTCTAGGGAAGCAAAGGAAAACTGAAAAAATGCATGAGTGTTTCAAGTTGCAACGTTCAGTGTTTTTTTTCCTGCAGAGTGACCTCTGGTCTTTGGGAATCACTGCTATTGAAATGGCTGAAGGAGCTCCTCGTAAGTGGTTTGGTTCAGGGAGGGGGCTCTATGCTTTCTGAACATGTTCTGTATTAAAATAACTCGCGCTTGACTAATGCACAGATGTACAAAGCTCTGGTTCTGTCTGGATCCTTAGAAATAATCTCTGAATTTTTCTCATTTCAGCTCTCTTGCTGTGCCCTTCCCACATCTAAGTCCCTGTTTCCCCTCCTCGATTTCAATCCTGATTTCTTACTAGCTTTAGGTAAATTTTGTGTCTTGTAATTGCTTCCGTCTGTGACGCCAAGCAGCAGGAGTGTGCTGGGAGACCTTTGCTGTCCCCTCACTACTCTGGTTAGTGTCTCACAGGCAGTGGGCAGCAATCAATGGCTGCAGGGTGGTCGCACAGACCTCTTTTGTGCATCTTTTGTTTCTGCAGAACCCTGCTTGTTTCATCCCTGCACCCAAGGAACAGCTGTGTTGTGAGGGTGTACGTGGTCACTGCCGGGAGCACAGGAGATGAAATAAATTATACCCTGGCCTGAGCTCAAGAGCACGTAGGCTGTGTTTAAGAAACACTTTTGGCTGTTTTCCTGTCCAGCTTGGTTTTAGCAATGGTCCGAATCCAGCTGGAGTTGAGAAGCACTTTCAGAAACTGTGCTGCAGCCCAGCTTCGTCCTGAGACGGGGCTCTGTGCAGTTTCCTTTGAGAGAGACTTGTGGCTTCACATGCTAATTCCTCACTCCATTTGTAATTGATGTGATCACTGTTTTTGGCAGGAGAATGTAATAGATTATATTCTATTGCATTGTGTTGTGTTTTTCTTCTTGTTTTACGTGAGGTGATAGGACCCCTATCCAGAAACCAGACTTCTTTGAACTGCCACCCCCACTATATCACAAGCTGTTGAAAATACAGAGGCAAAAGACAAAAAGTCAACTCAGATGTGAGAAGTGATGGCAGGCAGCTACAGGCACGGAAAGAAATAGGAGGCAGTAATGGCATACCCAGGCCATAGTCTTGCTTTTACTATTTCTGCAACGCTGCAAATCTGTTTCTATTAAGAGAATCACTTCTGAACACCTGCATGTCATGGGAGATCAGCCTCCATATAGAGCCTCTCAGTTGCCATTCAGTAGCTCTGTTTTGTGAAGAAAGACCTCTGACCCTCAATATTTCTTTGTGACAGACAGGGACTTGTTTGTAATTCCACACAAAATGTCTCTGGTATATGAGATATTATGGTATTTTCTTTTTTGCAGAGTTATTTGTAGTTTTACATTTCTGTAACAGTAGCACTGAGCAGAAGTACAGTGGGCTGGAAAGAAACCAGCATCTGAATGCATTGGTAGGATCTATGGCAAATTGCCTAATCATGGTGCTCCTGCTCCCGAAACACAAAATAGATGAAATATGTGCTCAGCCATTATGCTCTGCTCCACTGACACGGTTCGTGAGCTCTCCAATTTGCATCACATTTCTTCATCCTACATTTTCTTTTATGCCATGAATGATACAGCTAAGAGTCTGATGAAAACGTATCTTATTGTTTATTTGAACCATAAACAAAGCATATTAAATTATATATATTTCAATATTAAATTTAACTTCTGTTTATGAAAAATTACCTCTTGATATACTAGAGTTGTGAGTTTTTATAATGTCCTTTTGAAGCCTTACGTATAAAAATCAGAATAAAGTTGTTACCACGCAGCCTTTCTTTCAACTGAATCTCGTGCAACCAGTAAAATAGCAGTGCATCATTGTGAAAGCTTTCTTTGTACTCTGAGACTTCATTTTTTGGCTGTAGCATGAATTGCACTGACTAACAGTGAGGTCCTGCAGCAGGTGCTGTGCTGTAGGCAGTGGGAGAAGTGGTTGGGTCTGCCTGGGTGGCAGAGGTTGGACGTGGGATGTGTGCTGAACTCTGTGGTCTCCTTTGCAGCCCTGTGTGACATGCACCCAATGAGAGCACTCTTCCTCATCCCGCGGAACCCGCCCCCAAAGCTGAAATCCAGAAAATGGTAAAAAGCCGTGCAGAGTGTCATTTCTGATGATTTTTAGCGCTCTTGTCCAAGAAATCACAATGTTGTTAAATCCTGCAGTGATCTGTGTTGTCTGTCCTCCACTGTCTATAGTGTGGGGTGAGCCATGGGTGCAGAAGTAGTTTACCTTTGGGAACCAACCCTGTCCTTCTGATCTCTGGATGATCTGCAGCATCCATTGCAGTCACTGAAGGCTGACATGAGTGACTGCAGTTTTAGTCCCAGGGCAAGATGAAGCCTTGCAAATGTAGTGCTTTATGGCACTCTGGGGTAATGCTTGGCAAACCAATTGGAAAGGTTTATTATTTTACCCTGTTTTTCTGTCTTTTTAAGGTCAAAGAAATTCCTTAATTTTGTTGAAAGCTGCCTTGTAAAAAATTATTTGCATCGTCCGTCCACTGAAACCTTGCTTAAGCACTCTTTTATCCGAGACATGCAGAATGAACGGCAAGTGCGCATCATGCTGAAAGACCACCTGGATAGGACCAGGAAGAAGAAAGGAGAAAAGGGTAACGTGGCAAAAAGAAACAAAAAGGGAGAGGAAAATAAAAGATACTGCAAATAGCAGCTCCTTTTCTGATTTTTGATGGTGGAGTAAAAAGTGGATCCACCTGAAATATGGTACCACAAAAAACTGAGAAAGTTTTGTTGCTGGTGGCAGTGGGGTCATTGTGCAAATCTCTGCAACAGCCTTGATCCACAGTGGTGTGTAATGCTAAAGTCTTCAGGAGTTGACTGATGCTGCTTCACTGAACACAACCCAAATGCTAATGTGATCAGAGTCCAAGTAATGCTTAGGCCTCTATTTTCTAAATAGAGTATCTAAACTGTAATCCTTGAGCCTTTCCTAGTCTCAGCTCATCTCTTGGTTCCTGATACCTTTATATGGTGATGCAGCAAGTAAAATAATTACAGCCTGTGAGTTCTTTGGAGGCAGAAGCATTTTGTAGTGGAGTGTACAAGTCCTTGAAAAGGCTTCCAAGATCCAGTGACACGCACACGGATATAATTGGTTGGCTTTTATACCAAATGCATGAAGTAAAAGAGAGAAATTGAGCTGGTTCCTTATCCTTCAGAGCAAAACTTGGAAGAAGCAGTGTTGGAGTGAGAATGGTCCATATGTCAGTGCACAGTTTGATGTGCAGCAGAGAGTAAAGTAGCCTGCTGACCTGTTATTTTCCCTACTCTCTCACCTCTCATTCTCTTGTGTGTTTTCCAATGGGAGGGGCACAGTGGAGATTAGTGACTGTGAGGGCAAACTCACAAAGTGCTGTAAAGATGATAAATTAATTTTTAAACTCTTAAGTATTGATTTGACAATAGGAATATTTGTGCCTAAAATGAAATTGATGTTGCAGTGTAAATTTACTGACTCCAGTAGTCATGGAATCGTAGCACTATAGAAGGGCTTGGGTTGGAAGAGACCTTAAAGATCATTCAGTTCCATCCCCCAACTGTGCCCTGGTTGGCACCCAATAGTTCAAGCTACCCAGGGCCCCATCCAGCATGTCCTTGAATACCTGCAGGAATGGGGCATCCACAACTTCTATGGGCAACCTGTTCTAGCACCTCACCACCCTGAGTAGAGCTTTTCTTCCTAATATCAAACTTGAATTTCTCCTCTTTTAGTTTAAAGCCATTTTCCCTTGTCCTGTCACAATCAAACCAGGTAAAAAGCTGGTTCCCTTTGTAAGCTCCCTTCATGTACTGGAAGGTCGCAGTGCAGTCTCCCTGGAGCCCTCTATTCTCCAGGCAGAATGAGCCCAGCCCCCCCAGCCTTCCTTCACACAGGAGAGGTGCTCCAGCCCTGTGAGCATCTTCACGGCCTCCTCTGGACCCACTCCAACAGCCCCACATCTTCCTTGTGCTGGGGCCAGGCCTGGATGCTGTTCTGCAGATGGGGCTTCATGAGAGCAGAACAGAGGGGGACAATCCCCTCCCTGCCCACTGCCAGCCCTCTGCTGATGCTGCCCAGGACACTGTTGGCCTCTTGGGCTGTGAGCGCACACTGCTGGCTCATGCCCAACTCTTTGTCTACCAGGACCCCCATGGCCTTCACACCACTTGTCACCAGCCTCCACTTGGACATAGAGCCATTGACCACAGCTCTCTGGCAGCAGCCATCCAACCCATTCTTTATCCAGCCTTCAAATCCATATCTCTCCAATGTTGAGATAAGGATGTGGTGCAGGACCATATCAAAAGCCTTGCACGTGTCCAGATAGGCTGTATCAGTTGCCCTTCCTGTGTCCACACCTACTGTCACTCCATTGTAGAAAATTCTGTCATCTCTTCCAGCTGTGGGCACTTTCAAATGGAAAAACATCCTGTTAAAAGGTTTTCATGAATGCACTTGAAGGAGTAAAGATGTGGTGATAACAATCACGTGTTGATAACTAGTTACAGTTGGACCTGGAAAGTGCTGGTTTTAATTAAAATTCCCCTGAAGGAACAATGTGAAACTGCCAGACAATACACTTCAAAATACTGATGCCAAAAAAAGTTAACTGAGTCCCACTTTGGTCCTGCTCTGTATTTTAGCTTTGTGGCATGCTAATTTGAAGTCTTCCCTTATGGGTTACCTCCATGGTACTCTTGAAGAGAACTTGAAAAATGTGGGTCATCTTCTCCTGAACTGCAATGTCAAAACTAGCATTGCTTGATTATCCCCATTAAAATTGTTCATTTTAGTACAAAAAGAAACACAGATTCACTAAAAGCCTCAGTTTAGTTACGCAGCAGACATGCAATAGCAGAAAAGGTCAGCATAAGTCTTTCATACCATATCTAAATTTATACATGAAATGACCCTGCTGCTTATGTTGTTGGGAGGGTTGGCTATTGCAGTAGGCTTAGCTTATTATATTGCAGATTGTAAAAGCAAGTTAGTTTTGCAAAATCTATGTAGTTAGTGAGGGGAAAAAGTGGAAACACGTAAAGGGGCCCTTTGACCCATGGTCTGAAGTAGACTTTGTGTTGCATACTTGAATATCTTCTGCTGCATCCACTCAGCCTCTTAGTGCAACCTAGGGCTTTTAAATTCCTGATGAGCTCCATGTAGTTCAGTTTTAGTGCTCAGAAGCCAAGTTCAAGATAACATCTTAAATAACAATATCCTCCACTGGCATTTATTGGTCTCTCTCTCTTTTTTTGACAGAGGAAACAGACTATGATTACAGTGGAAGTGAGGAGGAAGACGATGAGCTGAATGAAGATGAAGGAGAACCAAGGTTAATTTTATGATTAGAATATAAAATTTGACTGGCCAACCTGTTCTCACTGAAGGCAGCTCTCCTCGCGCAGATTTGCTTTTTTACCTTACTCTAAATCCCCCATCTACCGTATCCACTCTGATACTTGAACTGTTTCGTAGCTATCGAATATAAATGCTGAGCATAACAAGCTGCTGCATTCGGATGCATAGTCAACATGGCAGAGATGTATCAAGTCATTTTCGTTTGCTGACACGGGACAACAAGCAGTTCCTTGTATTCTCCCTGCTTTAATGCTATGTTTAGTCATATTGAAACTTGTACTTCGTTTCAGCTCCATAGTAAATCTCCCTGGGGAGTCAACTCTCCGCCGTGAGTTTCTGAGGCTGCAGCAGGAGAACAAAAACCGTTCTGACCCTCAACGCCAGCAGCAGCAGCTGAAGGACCAGGAGAAATACAAGAAGCAGCTGCTGACAGAGCGGCAGAAACGCATCGAGCAGCAGAAAGAGCAGAGGAGGAGGCTGGAGGATGTAGGGACTGGCTTGCATTGTTATTCCACATCCCCTCACAAATGAAAAATATGCCTGTAGAGAGTAGGCTATGAAAGGCAAGAAGGCTGTGCTAAGTTGTCAGCACAACCTGTCATGCAGTCTTTCACACTGGGAGAATGTATCGCTTTTGAACATAATGATATGAAGTGATATAAAAAGGGCTTTGTTCTTTTCCTGCTGACAACCTGCCCTGAGCTTTGGGAGCTGAAGATGCAGGACTCTTCTCTTGAGCTTGGCTGTAGAAGCCCAGGCAGGTGGGGAGAGAGGTCCTGTTTTCTTTCTGTTGTGCGTTATTCATACTGAGTCTCTTTTCCTGATCCAGAGTTTCTGGCTCTGCTTCTTTTTAAGATGTTACAAGACAAGATGCCTTTTCAGCTGTCTTACACATTATGGTGTGGCAGGTATTGCTAAATCATCAATGGGTCTCTTCTTGGGAGCATCTGATGAAATTCAGGCATTGTGCAAGCAATGGCATTTGTGAAGCATGATGCTGTTCCAGCAAAACTGGGGGAAAACTCTCAGAAAACCCTTCCTTCTCAAAATGACAGAACGATTAGCTGTCAACCACAAAAAAGAAGTTCACGTATTTGTCTAAATGAATGGCACATCAGCCCTCAGCTGCCAAAAGGGCAAAGGTTTCATTTTGAATTTGATAGTTACTGTGGTGGCAATCTGTGGCTGGCTGCTCCTGCTGTGCTGTGATCGGGCATCCCGTATTACTGCCTGCACCTCAGGAAATGAGCCTTGTGATTAATGACTACTGGCACAAATAATTGGTGGGTACAAAAGGGAAACAAAATAAGCGGTGTTATTCCCTGGCTCTCTTCCAGCATCAGAGGCGAGAGCAAGAGCTCCGAAGGCAGCAGGAGTGCGAGCAGAGGTGGGCTGAGGCTAAGGATGCTCAGAGGAGAGAGGAGAGGTGTAAGGAAGACAAAAGGGCCGTGGAAGATGATGAACGGTTCATAGCAGATGGGCAGAGGAAACCAGAAAAGAAGCAGGTATGAAAGGGTTTGCTGGCAGCAATTTGCAGCTCCCTGTTCCTGTGGATGTCTTTCTCAGTCCCCTTGGGGTTGCTGCCATCCTCTGAGTCACGGATCAGAGAATGACTTTTTAATGCTTTTACTGCCTCTTGTTCTCGAATACAACCTTTTCTGGATGCAACATGCAAATTACTTACTGAGTTACCCCCTTGAGCTACAGCAATGACACTTCCTCTCCTTGAGGGTGGCAGTTCTGTCACTGCTGTTTCTCCTTGCTGAAGTTATCTTCAGTCACTTCCATCTGATTTAAGGTACCTTTACCCTGAAAGATTCCAGCACAAGCTCAACTTAAGCTTAAATCTCCAGAGTCTACAGTTTCACTTTGGATTGTACAAAGGATAGTCTCTTACTCACAAAGTAAAAATGAAATTGAGGTTACTTTAATGCTGAGGTCTCACTGTCAAGACTGGCACCTTGACTGCAATGTTATGCTAAAGTTGCAGCAGATGAGCCGACTCATAACCAACAAGAGGCACTCGAGTGTTTAATTAAAGCCCTGTTTTTAGGAAAAGTAAAAAGAAAAAATGCAGTTTTCTGTTGCGCTGTTTCAAAAGCCAAACATTGAGCATTTGGAGTTGTTTTTTGCTTTCTTTTCCCCAGAGTTGTGGCTTTTCTGTCAGCCTTGCAGCTGTGCTCACTTTGCTCTTTTGAAAAGCCAGGATTTTCAGCAGTCACCTCAGTTGTCCTCCGAGGCATCATTCTCTCTGATGTTCATCACTCTGCTTTCAGAAAAAGGTGGAAGAGGTGCAGCACAACAGGAAGGGGCATCGAACTCTCCCCAAAGATCAGACACAGCTGCTGTCTCTCCAGCATGACCACAAGCAGAAGAAGAAGGAGCCTTCCAAGAGTTCAAATTCAGCAGCACATCTTCCATCAAGCAACACAACCAAAGAGGTACCAGCTCAGCCAGTGTAGTGTTTTGGTGCAGTTTATTATGCTGTGGAGATGCTAGAGTACAGTCTGATCTTTAAACTTACAGCTTGACTTATGTCTTCCTACACATTTAGGCTGCAGTAAGTCCTTTTGTCTCCATTAATGTAGAGAATAAGGAAAAGGAATGGTTAAGTCTCTGTCAGTTCTACTCAGATTGAAAGAAGTCTTTAGCTGTGGTGAACCAGGAATCATGATCCCTCTGGTCAGCTAGCTGTCATTCTCTTGTTTCCCAAATTAAGATTTGGGAATCCCCGATTAAGAATGAAGGTAGTGTCATCTGAGGTTTTAAGAGATGTCTTTGCCTGACTTTTGGGTTCACAAAACTGAGGCAGACACAGAATAGTGTTGTGCCTCCCAGGCATGGGTCTCTGTGTCCCTGATGTCAGATTGTGATGCCTTTTCATCTTCTTTTTCTCCTCAGATTTTAGGTAGATTAGATTTGGTGGATAAGAGGTACACATTGAGTCCTCAGTAAGAATTCTTGTCTGTTTCATTCCTTTTTTTTTTTAACTCCGAAATATTCTGTATTGCAGCTTGTTCTACTTAAAAGCTTCAAGTCCGTTTCACATATGTTATCTCACCATTCCTGGTATTTATTTTTCACAGGTCTGTGAACCTGTTTCTATAAGCTGGTAAGATTTCACATTACCAGAGCAAAGAACTTGGCTTGGTCAGTGTCAAAATCCTCAGCAGCTTACACATCTTTCCTTGGGGGTGGCAGCAAAGCATCTTTCATAAATACCCAAACCAAGCACATGCATAAGTTTGTAGAAGGAATGCAGAGTGCTGCTTATTAACTTTTTGCTGCAGCTTTTAAGCAGGTGCCCTCTTTGATGTCACCTCTGTCTGCATGCAGCTGGCTCCCTGAGGTGAAATCTTCTATGATGATAAGCAGTTAAATGAAACACTTTTTGGTAGGATTATTGACATGATGAATTTCAGTAACTGGATGGAGTATGCAAACAGCTAATCTGCAGTGTGAAATCAACAAAACAAAGGATATTAAGTCCCTTGTTAGAGCAGCAGTTTGTGAAAACGATAGAATGTCTAATTGTGTTTGAAGTAAAACTTAACTGTCAAAAAAATGCCCAAGATCCTAAGGCTTTATTGCATTGACTGATTAAACATATCATTATTGAAATTTGAATGAGCTCTTTTGGAAATCACTGTTTATGTAGTGACAGAGGGTGGGATGTTGTTCTGGCTGGAGAGAAAGTTGGGTGTGGACAGAGCAGTGAGCAGTTTTCACTAAATACGTGACATCTAAGTCATTGAAATACTTTGCCTTTGCTAGGTTTTGGCGGGGGGGGGAAGAAAATGCAACTCTGTTTAATTCATTTAACTTTCTTTTCCATTTTGCTATAGCTAGAAGTCAAAAGAGCTGTAAAATGTCAGCACACTCTGTAGTTTTGTCATGCATTTTCTAAATGACCCCTTTGTAGCAGAATGAAATGTACTGTGGAATTTAGTGTAGGCAGTCACTGTTAACTTTTATTGTAATGGTGAAATATAATATTACTAATTGCAGGTGAGTTAAGAACACGTGGAAGGAAAACAGTAGGAAAACAAAAATCGCATCCACAGATCTGCCCTTGAGGTTCATAGCGTGATGCTGGTATTGATGACAGTGGTTGGGTACCATCGTGTACTCTGGTTTTGAGGGCAAACTCTTTCACAATACTGATTAATCTCAAAACTTCTTGGAAGATGCAGATCCTTCTATTGAATCCTAATTAATGCAACAAGGTTGCTTTTGTTGTTGTTGAAATGTGATGCTTTACAGTGATGTCAGCGGACGTAACTGTTTAGGAGTCAGAAATGCTTTAAAGCTTTGACTGTTTGTAACAGTGATAATTCAGTGAATTTGTTCCTGTAAATATTGGTCTTTAGCAGTTTACTAGACAAAACTATGCCTGTTCCTGCACTGGGAGCGGTCTGCACAGGGTTAGATGCAACATAAATGTAGAGTGAGTTCTTTTTTTCCCATGGTTTTTGGTTCTCAGTGGCATTTCCAGGACCAGCTATTGATACAGGCAACTAACGACCTCCAGAATTACTGTTGAGCTGAAGCATTAAAAACCATCAAAAAATATCCTACAGCCTTCCAAAACCTCAAGTTTAACATATGGAGCCATGGAACTTTTCCTTGGGAGTTTCTCATCTCTGTCATCTCGCTCATCCTGTGGCAGGCAGGTCAGGGCAGATTTCCCTTCTGTGTGCAGATGTGAGCTCTGTCCCTGTGCTGTATCTGATCCCAGTGGCACCGCAGCTGGTGAGCTGGGGAAAGGACTCTGAGCTCGGGTTTGGTGCTGGATCATGAAGTTTAGTGCTCAGTGCCTGTGCTGGAAGCCTGGAGCGTCTTCTTGAGCTTGCATCTGGATCATAATATGCTTGGTAAAATTTGCCTTTCATTGTTAGGAGTTGCAAGTAATGAAGATCTGGCCTCAAGAGTAACGTAACTTCTCAGTTCACCACTAGAATTCCTCAGTATTTGGCTGTGGTTGCTTGTCTAATATGTTTTAAAGCTGCTTTCTGCCCCCAGTTAAGATCTGTGAGACTAAGGGGAATCATTTCCACCTTCTCAGCAGGTCCTAAACTGGATTCAGAATATGCTCTCTCCCTTGCTGTAGGCACAAACACCCAGATATATTGAGAGGCACCGTTAAGAACATCTATCCAGACAAAGACAACTGGGTACAAGATGGCATTAATCTCTTGTTTGCAGAGTAGAGCTGCTAAAGTTAGAGTTCCTAGGCTGCTAAATCAGAGGATGAGCTAAAGATTTATGCTAGAGAATGGGAATCAAACTGGGAAGAGCAGCAGGGTCAAAACTGTGGGTTGGAGATTTTGTAATAAGCAGTGCCCTCGGGACATAGAAGGACCTTTCCTGTCTTTCGGTTGGACCTCGATAGTGTCTCTCAGTCCTTTCCATAGGGCAGTTAGCATACCAAACAACAGAGCATTAGAAGTGTCTCAACATAGAAAGCTGCTTGCAGTAAAGTCAGTGCTGTAGAAGAGGGTAATAAATTCAGAGCAAAACAGGTTGCGTGCTGTCGAAGGTAAATAAATGCAGAAAGATGGTTCCTCCCAGCTAAAATCCTAGCCTGCAGCAAGCAGGATAGCCTTGAATAAAGCAGACTGCAGCTCAGGCATGTCAGCTGCCCCTTGTCCTGCTGTGGCTTGGAAACTTAATGAGAAGGATGGAGTTGCAAATGGAGAGGCAGTGCTGCTTTGTATCGTGCCAGGGCTGACCTCTCCTCAGGGAGGTCCGTAGAGTCTGTGCGGTTCTGCGCTGCCACCGGAGAGCATCCAGGCCGTGAAGCTGAGTGCACGACACGCCTCTTCCTTTCTCCTTTGCAGGCCGAGGACCGAAGAAAGAGAAGTGATGGCATCCAGCCTGCCCTGCAGTGGCCTGCGGCGCTGGGGCACGATGCCATGCCTCAGGCGAGGGTGGGCTCTGGCAGCAGCTCCAGCCCCTGCACCCCTGCGCTGCAGAGAGCCGTCTTAGTGCAGGTATGGTGTGAGTACCAGTGTGGTATCACTGCCCTGACACGGGGAGGAAGGTGCCTGAGCAGGAAGGTGCCTGGTTCCCTTCACTCCTGCCGTAACCGATGGAGGCCCATGAGAGCTTGCCTCCGATTTTCAGTGCCACCTTGTGCTGCTAAGTTACAAGTGGAGTTTTACTTATGCGTTGCAGCGTAGGTTTAGATAACAGTTACTTTAATATGCTTGATGCCTGACTGCTGACTCTCTGATATTACTCTTCACTGTTTCATAAAAAGCCTGAATGACTGTGCTGTTATAGCCCCTGGATGATGTATTATTTATATGGTGCCATAAATATATGTGGCAGTTTACAAAACAACTCTAAAGTCAAAATTTGTATCCCTGAAGACTAGGTACACAAGCAAGACTGTTAGAGGTCTTATGAAATAATCTAAAAGTATAAGGAGATGGAATAAGGACTAGTTACCAATGCAGAGTCTGGTTTTGCCTATGGGTAGGGCATGGCAGGCCTGTGAAGTCCTGTTTCTAGTCTTCAATTTCTGCATCAGCATTTTCTAGATCTTCTAGCCCACATCTGTGAATAAGAGTGAATACTTCAAAACGTGCATAAGGGACTCCTGAGTGCAAAAACAGATGTCTTCTGTGTCCTGTGTTGTGCACATCCACGGTACCCCAACAAATACACTGTCCTATGATGGGCCTACGGGCTGAGATGATCTCTCTTGTTTGTACATGTGGTTATGTGCTTACTTTCTTGTTGAGATACAAAGTATTTTACATACTTTCATGTTGTTCCACCTCCCAGACTGAGCTTTTCACTCCTCCCTTGTTCCAGGGTGCTTCTAAATGTTTTCTCCTTGTTTTCTGTGCTTAGCTCTGCAGCTTCTGTATACTTTTATCAGCTTGACAGAACTCACCCAACATCTGTCACTTGAATCTGTTACATCACTTCAAAAATTTCAGAGTTAAACGGTACCTAAAGTGGTGCCTAAGCAGATCCCTCTACGCATACAGTGAGAACACCCTGGGGAAGTCCTGCATTAGAATCCTCCTCGAAGCATTTTAGCTCCTACCAGCTCCAGGACTGCAAATTCAGAGTACCCACTGTGCCCAAAAACTCAACTTCCTTTCAGCATCCTATTTTTTTGACAGCATTTGAAATGAGTAGCTTAGACTGCAGTTACTTTTTTTCTTTCAGAAGTATGTATAAACAAAAGCAAAGCAAGACAGCAAGCAGAAAACAAATAAACTGCTGTGCCTCCTCCTGCTCCCAGTGCCAGGGTTCCCCCAGGGCAGGCTTCCAGGCCCAGTGCTCTACTGCCCTGCTTCTGCACATGCCCTGGCATGAGTCTGCATGAGGCAGGTAATAGGTGGCTGATAGCCTCCTCAGGTCCTGCTGGTGAAGGCAAAATCAACATGGGCAGCTGTCGGGAAAGGAAAGGCCCAGTTTCACCCAATAGCATTATCTTGAGAAAATATTTGTGTATCTTTTCACATCCTTTTTTTTCCGTGGCACATTTGGCAGCTTAAGTCACAGGTTTTGTGACTGGTCTAAATTGACAGCTGTAGCGTTGACTCCCTGGAGAGCTGCTGCGAGGTCTAAAAGTAAGGTGCTTATATCTCAGCCTTGGGCAGCTCCCTTCAGGTGAATATTTTGGCCCTGTAATAGAAGCTATAGAGCACATACTTCAGGAATTCTGCAGAAGCACATTAGCTGTACGGAGGGGAGTCCTGCCCTGTTATGGTGTCACTTTATGGGTGAGAGGAGCTGCATCCTAGCATGGCTATGACCATGCCTCCCACATTGCCCAGGATATGTCACTTTGTCCCTTTGCACCTTGCTGGGGCTTCTCTGTTTGGGAGCACTTCTCCCAGCTGTTCAGGGAGTGGTAAGGAACAAAGTGGATTTTGTCATCCTCTTTCACATTCCTTGATTGAAACTACATAATAAAAGTTTAATGCTATGTTAAATGATAGTGTTACTTAGGGGTAATAGCAGGCAGCGATTTATAGTCATTACTGTGTGATTTCACTCCCTGGTGGGAACTGCCCTGTTACCCACACACAGGTTGGTGATCCAGCAGGTAGGGACCATGTGGACAGGGAGAAGCCAGTCCGTGGTCTTTCCTGCTGTGTTAGCATGGAAACCAGATGAACTTCGATGGGCAATTTATAAATCTTCTTAAGGGTTGTGTTTCGTTCTGCTGGCTGGCAGCAGCTGTTGATGCTAATAGCTGTGCTGGGAAACGCTGCCTGTGTTAACTTCATAAAGTGAGAAGGCAATATGAGTGATGCTCCAGTTAGTCACCTGGAGATGAAAAGACTTGCAGCAATATACTTGCAGAGTTCAGTACGTGGCTGCCTTGTTGATTTAAAGTAAAAGTGAACCGCAGAGTTAAAAATGCAAGCTGACTTTATCACAGATGTCTACACTGAAGAACTTTCAGCCATGTTTGAGAGGAAGCAATCATCTGTCATCACTGCTCTGCTCAGGCAAGAAGACTTCTTATTCTAAATGATCCCATCCTATAAGATTGTATGGCACCTCCCAGGTCCCCAAGCCTCTCTCGCAGCAATCTCACTGGAAATCTTAACGCAGTTCCTGAGAGACAGCAAGCATGATTTCTCAGTGTCTTGTACTCTGTCTGGTGAGGGAAATGTGAGATATTCCCAGCTCAGAATATCCCATTTCCATTGCTTTGTACCAGTTCTGCCTCTGGTGAGCTGCAGCACGGTGGGCAGTGGGGCTTTCTGGCAGTGAGATGAGCCATTCTGGGCAGCCCGTGGGATTCACAGGCTGTGAATAGAGTCACTGTGTCTGTCTGTCTGCCCAGCGTCTCCCAGTGTCTGAGTAGAGGAGAGATTTAGCCCACATCTGAAAGGAACTCCTTTTTTTAATCGTCTCTTTTGTTCGTCCTGTAGGATTTGCTATCTAGTTCTCTACTGTCTGGAGTAATGCAGCAAAAATAGAACAAGAAAGCTAATGGTATTAGAATAATTAGCTGTGCATTAGGTCATTGACTGATGCAGTATCCCAGATCTATTCATAAGTTTAATGCAATCTTTTTCCTTATGCTGTTCTGTAACAGCAGTTGCACATGCCTACTCCCACATGAAGATTCAACTCAAATTCATCACTTGGATGTCCCCCAAAAAAGAGAGCATAGACTTTCTTTTTAAAATGTCTTGTTCCTAAATCTTCTTGATCTAATTGGTCTGTGGTCCTGCATAGCCTTGTGGTTGTTAGGAAGCAGTCGGTCTTTTGCCTTAGCTCTGTGAGGTGTGCCTTTGTGGTTTGAAGGCACCTGGTAGGTAATGTTGTTATCTGAGACATTTTCACTTTGCTTTGGAGTCGTACGATCTTTTAAGTCCTACAGAATCATAGAATGGTTTGGGTTGGAAGGGACCTTTAAGATCATTCAGTTCCTGCCCCCTGCTGTAGGCAGGGATGCCTCCCTCCAGACCAGGTTGCTCACAGCCCCGTCCAGCCTAGAAAATCATCCCAGAAACAGGCAGCCTGTCTCAGTTTTACATGGAGCTGGGGAACTGGACTGTCCCTGCCAAAGAAGGTACGTGGGTACCATCTGCAGAGGGAATATTTGTGTTTTAGAGTTTCTCGGTCACTTAAATTGTGATTCAGCAAAGCTCATCCCCACTTATAAGCAGGAACAGTTTTCTGGTACGCTGCAGGACTCCAAAGCTGGAATTTAGGAAGAAATTTAAGTATCTTGTTGAAAAACTGGCCAGGAAAAAAATCTTCCTATATTCTGATAATAATATACTTGCTATAAATGCTGTTCCTGCCCCTAAGATGAGTCACTTCAGGGGAACACTTTGCTGTTAAAATAATTCTGGTTAACTAAAAACTATTATTAGTGACAATCATGTCGGACAAAAAAGAGGATTTTGACAAAATGCAAGGACATGGATTATGAGATGTTGTAACTGCTGAAAAAGCTGTTTTCTTTAAAGAAAGCCCACAGAACGTGTTATCCCCAAAAGGCAGCAGAAGCACCTGAATATTTAACCAGGCAAACTCCTCAGAAGTGTCTTTCTGCAGCTGATTTGTCCTTGCTGGACTCAAAGGTTGTGACGGAACATTTGAATGGTTATTTGACATCTTGAAAGAGTGTTAGAATTTTAGAATTTTAGTATTTAAATGGTTTTAGAGTCACGGGGAGTTCGTATTTCACATTATGGTTCTGTTACTCTGTGCTGTTTTTTAATAGCATGAATAACTTCTCTTAAAAGTGAGCTTCATACCGGGGAACTAATTCTCATGCATTTAAACTTGGATGCAGACAAAAATTTCCGGCCTCTTTCTTTGTCCTGGGGGCTGCAAGGCTGCTGGTGTGCAGTGCATCTGAGGCCAGGGGCTCCCGTGCTGGTGTGCAGAGCTGGGTCAGCCGAGCTGGGGGGGTCCATGGGGATCCCTGCTCCCTCTTTGCATGCCAAGGGGAAGCACCGCGTGGCATGGCTTCAGGCACTGCTCTGCTGCCTGTCTATTTCTGTCACATTCCTTTGGTTCTGGCATTGTAGTCCCACCGGATGGACCCATCTCACTCCATTTCCATGTTTTCTGCCTCAGTCTTGTGTCCAAGAAGATTTCTCATTTCAGGGAGGATCAGTGCATTCAGTTGACATTTTTAGCTCTTTTCCTTTCTTCCCCTTTGGAAGACTCGCAGGTGATAGATTATTAATGTGTTGAATTCAAGGGAACTTTCCTTATTTATTTATTTTAATACAGAAAGTTAGCCAAACAACTCTGGAGTATTTTAGATCGAGTGTACGCTGCTTACCTTCTGTTCCATTGGAACGAACGCCACATTTGCTCCTCCCTTCACCCAAATTAGGGCATTTGCTATTCTGTTACCCAACCTGATAGCACTGAAGGCAGCTTTTAAACAAAGGTGATCTCAGTGGGGGCACCCGGATGTTACAGAATCACAGAATCACCCGGGTTGGAAGGGACCTCAAGGATCATGTAGTTCCAACCCCCCTGCCTAGCAGGGCCACCAAACACACACATTCAGATCAGGTTGCCCAGGACCCCATCCAACCTGGCCTTGAACACGTCCAAGGACGGGGCATCCACAACCTCCCTGGGCAGCCCGTTCCAGGGCCTAACCACTCTCCTTGTAAAGAACTTCCCCCTAACATCCAACCTAAATCTTCCCTCCTTCAACTTGGATCCATTTCCCCTAGTCCTGCTGTTGCATGAGGTGTAGTGTGGGCAGTTTCTGATTTCTTTCTTAGTGCAGTCTCAAGTTTTCTTCCTTTTGGACACTTGTACATCTGTTACGGAGGGGAACCAGGGCACCCTGTAACTGCTGGAGAGTTGGAAGCACTTCCACTTGGCAGTTTGTCTACTGACTGTAGAAAGGCTGAAGTCTGCATAGCTGTAATTTTTGTGTCACTCGGTTAAACGGTTCTCTGTGCATCGCCAATGACGTGTTAGCTCCTCCACAGGTAAAACAGCACAAGATGCATGTACTGCACAGATGTTTTTAATATATTGGGCCCTTCACCTTGAAATGTTTGTGCCTAACCAGCTGTAAATGAATAACTTTGCACCAAACAAGGTGAGTAGGGCTGTATCGAATCACAGTGCTTGTTATGCATTTACTAAAAGTTAGATCTCATCGATAACTGTTGGCACTGGGACGTGTTGTACAGAATGGAGAAGTGCAATTCAATTTTTTGTTTGTTTTAAGTGTGACAATTTCCAGGCCAGTAGAGATGTGTACCACAGCAGCTCGCTGTCAGACATGGTGACCACACTGGTCGGCCTTGGACAGGATGACGTATTCTGGAGTGGGAGTCAGAGTGGAGAACAGCCCCCAAAGGTGTGTAGAACTCAGGTGTTCAGCCCCGTGCACAGCTGATAGCACTCAGCTCAGTTCCCCTGCACTCTGTGCTACCCATGTGCTTCACTTCATGAATCCCATCGCTTGTACAGTAATTGGGTCTCACTAATCTAAAAAGAAGACTCTGTAGGTAAGGATTTACTTCCATTTCTGTGCACACTGGTTTGTTTCAGAAAAGCACATTAATATATACAATTCAGGTGAAAGTTTTTTGGTTCTTGTTTTTTTTTTTTTTTTAAACAATTCCTATAAACAGGGGTGTTTGTCTGGGATGTGTGTATGTGCATGCATGTATGTATTCTTTCTAATACTTTGCAGGTGGGATGTATGCATGTCCTTTTTCTCCTCCCCACTTTCCACACCCCTTTTGATATGCACAGTTAGATAGCAATGCAGGGTAATCCACCACCTACAAAAAGCTGCATTAAGTGACTGCAGATGTGTTTTCCTGTCTGCTTTAAATATTGACCAAGAATAGTGCTGACTCCAGGGAAAGGTGCAAACTACTCACAGGCTGCACCCTGACAGATTGCAGTGCAAATTGGAAGGACCTGCTGCTAGTTTGCACCTTCCAGGTTTATATGAAAGACAGCTCTACAGGTCCCACTGAAGCACTGTTCTTTTGTGTTGGTTAGTCTCATTTCTGTATTGATGGAGTTAAATATTAAGATTATTAATTGAGTCCATCAGTGGCACTAAAATACTTGATTAAATCCTTAAGGTTCCAGAAAGGACAACCTCCAAATTTTACAGCAGGGATCAACCTGGCCAACAGAGAAGCCATTCAAGGTAAGCTCCGAAGAATTTGATACTTACACTAATGCTGATTTATTGCCAATAGGAAAACTGTAGCCAATTTATTTAAAACCAAAGGGATAAACTCAGTAATAGTAAAACTAACATGGGTTCGTGCCTTATTTGATGACAGTTACAGTTATTTTACCTTTTGTGTCAGTTTGCCCACTGAACTATTCAAACTCCCTGATATTGAACCTGACAGAAGCATCTGAGCAAGCTTCCTTTTAATGACAGATGGACCCGATTTAAAGACAAACAAACCTGTTGTAGATCTCCTCCTTTTCTCATAAGGCAATTTTGTTCTCTAATGGAAAGCAATATTTCTAATATATAAAGGCTGCTCTGCATCATGCCATGAGTTGTTTCATTTGTTTCAGCCTGCTCAGATTGACAGAGTGGTTTCTACACAAGTTCTTCATCCGTTTGCCAGTTCTGTAGTGCAGCCATTTAGCAGCTGCTTATCATCTGATAATGTTTTACTTTTCCTTCCCGTCAGGGAAAGTGACTGCTGAGAATGCAGATTCTGTGAGATGCCTGCCTGTTGGCACCTGGGGGTGGCGGGAGTGGTGCTGCTGGTGGCTTGGTCAGGATGCTTTTGCAGATGCTCTGTGGCACATTTGCACCTGCACTGTTGTTTTGGAGGAATTCTGTGCCTGGATACTTTGCTAAGGGTGGCCCTGTCCCCAGCTCCCTATCTAGGCACTGTAGTTACAGCTGGTGGGTGCAGCCTTGACCTGCTCGATAGTAGCTTATGCAGGCACATATGCTGTCTGTAGATGTATCTTGAATATTCTGGCAGCATGCCCATCAGGTGAGTGCACTCTACATCCCGGGAGAAAGAACCAGGGAGGAAGAGAGCTCAGCAGCATAGGGCAGCTGCCACAGGATGGCTGACCAGGGAAAACTTGAGGGACTGGCATTGGAGAGATCTGGAAGGGTGGAAGTTTCAGCTGACATAACCAAGTAATGTGCAGTGCTTTGGAATGGTTACTTCTGATGAGCCAAAGTCAGAAACATCACCTGAAATAAACTTCAAGTGAAGCCAAACCTGTAATAGATTCTGCTTAAAAATTATAGGAGGCAAAACAGAAAAGAAACATGTAGGTAAGACACAGTGCTACGAGTGAGGGGCTTCTCAGCCTGGAGTTGTTGGGTATGCCTCACTTTTGATTTGCAAGTTTGGCAGCTTGTTTTACTGCCTTATGCATTCCTTATTCCACTGGTAAGTAGGTGATGATGTATCCTGCAGGAGGGGGGTGGAGCAGGTTTCACTATTTGTGAAAACCATGAGATTTGGAATTAGGAGAGAGGCTGATCTGTAGAGGCCAAGGGAGAATTACATGGAGTAGGGTATTTAACAGTGGCTTGGGGCACTGCATTCTCCCAGATTCCCAGAGGGAACTTGCCCCCTCCATCTTGTCTGGCTACTGGGTGGCCCTGCCTAGAGCACCAAGGAAGCAGTTTTTGTATAGAAAGTACTTTATCATACATTGACAGCAGAGAACCTGGTTCCATGGCCTAGGAGCTACGTTTTGGTTGTGTTCCTGAATACAAATAGCCTGACATTCTGTCTGTTTCTCTGTTCAGTAACAGCCATCAGCTGTCCCCTGGGGGACAGGCTCTGAAGGTCAACAGCAGCAGCAGCACTGCTGGCAGCACACCATGGGAAATGGCATCTCATCAGAACAGCCGACCCACCTCAGGTGATTCCCAAGTCAATGGTTCGTCAGTCAAAACAAGCAAAGTTCCTTCACATAAAATGGGCTTCTCTGGAGTGCTGGGTGTTATGCTTTTGTGGATTGGTTTGTTTGTGTAAATGAGGTGATATAAATATAAATACCACCTCAAATTTTTTGGAGTCAATAAGTGACTACAAACATATTTGCATACAAAAAAAGAACTTAGTTAACTTCAATTAAGAAGTGGAAAAAAATAGTTCTCTTGTACATACTGACACTACTGAAACTAACAGAGCTGACCTTGCAGATACACAGATCTAATTCAGTGCTAATGCTCACCCATTGCCATTTTTTGCATTGCCCACTACTAAGATGATACAGATGAGCAGTTGTTGCACACCTATATTTCTGCACTTCAACATTGTGCTGCCTGATAGAAGCCTTAGGAAGCACAAGACTCTCCTTTCAGCATCTTGTGGAACATTCTTCCTCTAATCTGCAGAAAGAAAGTGGAACTGAAAAAAAAGGCACAGGAAGTTAAAAGGTGGAGATAACCTCATCCAGTGTAAGCACGGTGCAGCATTGTAAGATATCTCAATATCAGTGGTAGCAATGGAAGAAGGCACAGGGTTTGCTGATGGTTGTACAGATTTTTTGTGGTACAGGCTCTGGTTCCTGAATCCTGAGCTGAAACTGGGGCAGAGGGAGACGTGAAACAGAAATGGAAAGCTTTGTTCCTCCATTGCTATTCCTCTGATGCCTTTTCTGTGGGTCAGCTGTAGGACAATTTCTTGTGTAGCTCTTTGCAAAACTGTATTTTAGAGTACTTTGCATCCGGGTTGATGCACATGGGTGACATGGGGAATCACGCCCAGTTCAAGGCAGGGTGGATGCTAAAAATGTTCTGAAACCACAGCAGCGAGTTGCTGAGGTCATTTATTTTTAAACTGAGGCTCACATTGTTAATTTGCAAACCCTTGATAAATGCAGAACAAATTGCTTATTTATTAAATTTACACAACCAAGCCAATTTTGCTTTCCCTAACCATACAGGGTAGGAAGCGTTGCTTCAACTGAAAACTGGAGCACAGTTTAAACTGCTTGGGGTTTGTTTCTTTTTGCTCTTATGTCATTTTATGTTTGAATAATAGCATGATGATGAGCAATGAGCAGCAGCCCAGCTCAACTTTGCAGCGTCTGCATGATGTGTAACTCCTGTGCTATTTTGGCATGGGTAAATGAAAACCTCACTAGCCTTGGAAAGAATAGTAAACCTCCCTTGTGGTTTAAACTGTCTCCTTGGGTTCTTAAGTGTCATGAAATTACAGCCAGTTCTGGCATATGGTGTTCCAGAGTTTGTTGCTTTCCCAAACCCACAGGGACAGTGAAATGTGCAGGAAAGGCCTATAAATACTTTAATATTGCCTCTGAGTTGCTTAGGTACTCATTGACCAATAAGGAATTCTGAATTTTAAAAGCTTTGCAAAATGCACAAATGCATGAAGCTGCCGTGATAAAACTAGCTAAATTACCAAATACCAATCTTAATTTGTGGGAGCCTGGATTTTCTCTTCCAGTCTGGGAAGGAGTCCTGTCGGTAGCAGTGGAATGGCCTTGGAAGAAACTGCTGAACGAGGCACGTGTGTCCCACTGGGAGGGCAGGGGCTCATCTGCCCTCCTGCTCTTCTCTTGTCTCATGATTTGCGTGCAGAAGGCAGCATCCCTCCAGGGCTGTGTTCTCTCTTCCCACATAGCTCTGTTGGGGTACTGAAAGGGAAGTTTCACTTGATCACTTGCAGGAACCCCTCCTCAGATGGCAGCAGCACATGCAGGAGCCTTGGCTCCTCCTGCCTCCATTACGTGGGTGTTCAGAGGCCATGCAGGCACGGTGCTGCACCTGGGGGGAAGAGCAATGCCACAGCTTCCCCTTCACCAGGGCCTGACCTCGGCGGTGTCACGAGGTGCTGCATGGGTGCAGGCTCTCACTGCCCACTTCTCCATGGGGCTGAGTGGAAGTGGGAGCCTTGAGTCCAAGATGTGTAGGGGAAGCAGGGCTCTCCATGTGCTGCTGTGGGAAGCGGTGAATCCTCTTCTGCTTTTAGCCCGATATGTGTTGAGAAGAGGGGAGTTCAGTGCAGCTGTTTGCCCCAAACCCTGGGCTTTAGCCTCTGTCTGCAGGCACGGGGATGCAGCTGGTGGCACCTCAGCGTGAGGATGTGTGCAGCTGCTGCTGTGTGATGAGCTGCCCCTCAGTGCAGGGATCAGAGGAAGGCATTTGTGTGCCTTCACCCTTTGCCCTTCTAAGCCTTCTTCTAGTCTATAGAAATGCTGTTGGTATGCAGTGAGAGTGCTGCCACAGTTTCGTTCTGTTTGTCCTACTTGTGCAGCATGAATCTGGACCTGTACCGATTTATAGCACTGTGGCATCCAGAACCACCAGGAAACACAAAAAGGCTTCACTCTGCAACAAACAGAAAAAAAGAGGAAAAAAAAGTTTGTTAGCAGATAGTCTTGCCTGCCTTGGGTGATAACTCCATACGCTTGTCTTACGGATCCTTTCTCTCACTCTCTTCTTCACACACATTTATGAGAGGTGGTTTCTTTTCAGGGAATCCAGGACCTGCCAAGGGAGAGAATGCTTTGTCACAGAACCACTTGCAGCTGCATAAGAAGCCTGAACAAGTTTCTCATCCGGGCCAGATGGCAGTAGGTTCTTGTGTAACTGCTTTTTCTGATTTACTCTTGGTTTTGACTAAGGGCACACTTAGGCAGACAGCTCTTCTGTTGGTGTGAGCTGCCTACTGCCTTCCTACCAACATCCGCCTCTGGTGTGGGGCAACATCATGACATAGGAGGCGTGACTTTGGAGCAGGCCTCATAAAACATACTACATGGCTAAAAACATTTTAATTTTTGATATTTGTTGTGAAAACATAAAAAAGGAGAGTGACAAGACCATGAAAATAGTGGGATATTTGACCTTGCTTTTGTGAAACTAATGGATTGCTCTGGTTTGATGGTTGTGGTTCCAATTTTAGTGAGGTCACAAGGTGCTCATAAGAGAATTTTGGTTAAATTTCGTTTTTCCTGTGCTTCATCCTTGGAAACGGCTGTTCACAGATGTACAGAGTGCCAAAAAGCAATGATGTGAATAAAGCAGGACTGTGAAGCGAGGGCTGTTTCTCTTTGCTAAGACAGGGCTTATGAAAGTCTGACAGAGAGACGTGATCAGATTTTTGAGTTGATTGTCTGATGGCAGCTCTGTCCTTTCCATTTGGAAATGTGCAGGTGGTGTATTTATGCTGTCTGAAAATGGAGTCGCACATACGCCAGAAAATGGTGATTTTTTTGTAATCTTGAAACTTAGTCTCAAATCCCTTTATCACAGCACCTGCTGTAACTTGAGTTAGCACTGCTCTCTGCCCTCTCCTTGTCCTGGTTTCAGCCCAGGTAGGGTTAACAGCCCACCACTGGTTGGTCAATGCTGAGCGATGGATTCACTCTGGCCGCTGCCACAATGGAGCAGGGCAGGGGAGGGGGCTGCATTGCAAGCCGTACAAGCTTAGAACATTCTCCTGTGTGAAATAACACGGTAGTGATAGACCAAGAAAAGCATCAGCATCTGAAGAAAGCTTTTGGTGTGGGAATTATTACAGCTAAATTTGCCGGGACAGTACGATCTTGCATGTGCTGTTTAGTGATGTGTTCTTGCTTGAGAAAAACTGATCTAGGTTTTCTCTATTCAGAGCCCATGTTCCTTTGCCAAGGGGAAGGACAGTGCCAATTTGTTCCTGAAAGCAGCAGACTATTCCTCGTCAAGTGACGAAGCCAGCAGCAGTGACGAAGACGACACGAACCACGCCAGGTTGGTGTCATTTATCTTCTCTTTCTTCCTTTTTATTACACGCTTAAAAATAACTGGAAAAAGTTGGCATGCGTAAATACCTCCCCTCTGAAGTTGCTATCAGTCACTTCTGTCAGCTGTAATTAAGTAGTTTAATCTCCCTGTAGTGAACTCCCGAGGGTAAATGTTTCCTCCGTCAAATGTGTGCAATGTAATAAGCTTTGATGACTTGCTGCCCTGGGACAATGAGGAGATGTCTCGTTTTAACTGAGTATCAATAGGCAATGCTTCTTTGGAGATTACTTCACATTGATCTACATTTAAATGGATTTTTTAAAGAAAAAAGGGAAAATCATATACCTTCGTGCTAAATACAGATTGCAGGACAAAAAGCAAGGCAAGCGTGATCCTTTTATTCAGACCCTGTTCACTCCAGTGGAAATAATTACCACCAAAAAGCTGATAATTTCACCTGGACTACTTATAAAGAGGGCTGCTGTAAAATCTGCTGTGTTTTTTATGTTATTCTGTGCAATGGCTGCAGTTATCGTATGTATGCTGTGGCTTCCACCCAGCTGATCTCACATGAACTGTTTCTAGTTTTCCAGTTTCTCTTGACAATTTTGTGACTGACATCTTGTGGTGTTTTACCTGTCATGCAAAATATATATTCTGCTGTGAAATAATGGACTGTAAATCTCTTGCTAGACCAAGGTGACCAGTCAGTCAATCCTACTGTCTAGAACAGCACACACAATTACTTTTTTTGTATTAATGAACAGAATTTCTAATTTCCTTGCAAAGGGACTTCAGTTTAAAGAGTTCTAGGATTTACTTCAAAGTGCATTGCTGCCCCAGAGAGCTCTCTAGGATGGGACATAATTGCACATGCAGTTTTGTCATCCTTCTGGAGGAGATGCACAGATCTGTAGTGCTGTTGGCAAGCTGCAGCATTGGCCTGACACCAGACCTCACCACTGAACTGCTCTGAAGAAGGCAGAGTTTTTGCACCCACGTGTTGCTCCTGATTTGCCTTTCTGAAGTGCATTTTCAAAACTGAGGAATGAGGAAGGAGAAGAAATATTGCAGGACACCTGAAAAATCTGTATTTTTGTTACAATGCCTTATTTTCTTACTGCTCCTCTTCTTAACCACTTTTTTACTGCTTCATGAAAAGTTTTATTCACTGTAGGTCATAGAACTCATCCTAGACCTTAGAAAGATACATAAAAATATAGATTTGCCTTGCAGCAACGACTTCTGCTGCATAAGTGTTTGGTTTTTATATCCCTGTATGCAGTAATGATTTGAAGGTGTCTTGCTGCCTTTGGAAATCTGCATGTGTTTTTTGCATCTCTTCTTTGCAGTCCCTTAAAGAAATGGGGTCAGCAGGCTGATCCCTGCCAGGTTTACCTTCTATGCAAAGAGTCACCACAAGAACTGCAGTCAAACTGAAGTACAGTCTTGCCTATTAGCAAAGACATAGAATCATAGAATCACCAAGGTTGAAAAAGGCCTTCAAGATCATTCAGTCCAACCATCCACCTACCACCAATATTTCCCCACTAAACCATGTCCCCTCATACCACATCTCCACTTTTCTGGAGCACCTCCAAGGACAGTGACTCTACCACTTCCCCAGACCAGCCCAATCCAGCTCCAAGTCCTTTCACCTCAGCTGAGCATCGTTTACATTGAAAGATAGTTTGGGAAATTTATCCTGATTGCTACAAAGTGAAAAACAAAAAGGGTAGTAGTCAAAATGAAAACAGCAGCCAGCACTGAAACTTCCTCTATTCTAGACAAAGGTCTCACTGTCGTGATCAGGTCAAAACCTTTTTGTTTTTCTTACTATGTTCAGCAGTGCATGCCACCAGGGCTGAAGCCCTTAGAATTGTGTAGGAGTGTTTCTGTGGGGGCTTTGACTGAGACATGGCAATGAGATGACACTGAACTCCTCCACATCCACACGAGTGTTCTGATGTAAGACAGGTATCAGTGAGCCAGCATCCTACCTGCCTGTGTAGCAGGTATTCTACATTAGCACTCATTTCTCCCACTCTTCCAAGAGTTCTTCTCCAATGCCTGCAGCTTTCACACCATCCGCCTTAAAAACACTTTTCCTGTGGTTCATTTTGTATAGTTCAGTTTCTTCTGCTGCTCTTTGTACACTGCCAAATGTAAATAAGGTGGCTGCAGATGTGTGCTTTCCAGGTAAGTACTTCGTCCCACCAACAAATGGGAGATGGAGGTTGTTTAGGATCAGGCCCATCCTTGATCCTACTCCACGTGCTGCCGTTCCTCTTATGCTCCCTATGCAAATGTTTACAACTCCCATAAGAAAAACAAAACAAAACAAATGACTCTCCTACTCCTTCACGTTTGTCTTGGACAGCAGCTCTCTCACCAAACCTTCTCTGCTACTGTGCTGGGCAGAAACCTACTGCACTTCAATGCATCACCGTGATAAATAAATAAAGGAATGTACATTAATAAGTGGAATGAATAAGCTGTGGGATGGAAAAGCACAGAGGCATGGCCAGAGGCTTTGAGGCTTTTCCACCTGGGTGAAAAAGCTTTGAACACAGATACACTGCATGCGCAGAGCGTGTCACAGGAGGTGCTCGCTGTGGTCTCACTGTTTCTATTCTATCAGTACCTGCTTCTGGTTGCTGTGGAAGGTACTGGACTCCATGGGCTTGTGGCCCCCATTCTGTCTCTGTGCTCCTGCTCCTTTCCCTGTGCAGTGGGGATGCAGAGTGAAGCAGAGGCAGCAGGCTCTGGCAGTGCTTGCCCCGTGTGTGACCAGTGCTGGGTTTTCAGAGAGCAAGGTAGCTCGAGTTTTGAACTTGTATATACGGAAGGGTTTTGTGCATTTGTTTTATCACTGTGTGTGTGTGTGTCATTTCTGTTTTGCTTTTCTTTTTTTCTTTTGTTTTTCCCCGAAGTTCTGTTCATTAATTGGAGTTTGTTACCAGGCAACTGCTGAGCAGCAGAGTGGCAGATTTCTCAAGGACGGCAGTACCAGATGGGATTGAACTGAAACCCCAAAGCACCGTCGCAGAACAGAAGGTAATTTGGCCATTTGTAATGGGTGGGTGCAGTGTGAGGAGAGTCACATCGTTAATGTATGTGATAAGCACGGCATCCATTTCTCCTTGGCAGCACTTTTGCTCTGAAATCCTACTCTGTCATTTTAAATTATAGCTATGAGCCTTGAAAAATTGTGTACCGCTTCAGATTTTGTGCTTCCTACAAACACACTTACATCTCAGTACAAAATTGTGCCTCTTTATTTGTCCTTGTTATTGACCTGGTCATAGTTTCTGATGTCAACATGTTTTGTGAAAGGTGCTGGGTAGGTTGCAGAAAGCAATACTGTTGATGACAGCCAGTGTGCTTTGTTGCTGTTAGTGAAAATCTGGGCCTTCTTTATCCCAATTTAAAGAGAAGTACCTCTTCTTAAAATACTGCTGAAAAGGGGGAAAAACCCTTCATCCCTCCCCATAGGCTTAGCAAAAATACACATCCTCTCATATGCCATGTTTAGTTTTTTTCCTGTCTGTAGTTTGTAGCAGAGACCTTAAGTTATGTGAATTTTCCCATGATAAATGGTGCAGGAAAGATGAAGACAGACAAAGCAAAACACTGTTCTTTGTGGTTGAAAAAAAAAAATTACAGTAATAAGATTTGATCTCAACCTCAGAGCATTTCCCACATATTTCTGGGTGTATTCTCATTTCACAGATAGGGAAAGTAAATTGCCATGAAACTGGTATTTTCCACAGAGCTGCTTGTGTGAGCTGCAACAGAGCTAGGAAGGAAAAGTTGTTTCCTGCACCTTTGGTGCAGGAAAGCTTCAGATCAGAGTGAAATCCATCCAGGCTGGAGAAGGAGTTCCACTTCACCAGCATCCCATTGTCCTCAAGGAGGAAGGGCCCTGCTTTGGAGAAGAAATTATAAACAGGGCACCATGCTGAGCCAGGATCTTAGCAGCCCATGCTGTTCATCTTCCTCAAACCTGATATTAGCCTAACCCACTAATTTTAATGCTTATTGTTCTGTACTAGAGATGAGAATAATCCTGATTATCATTTCAGAGTAGTCGCATGATGGGAAAGGTTGTACTGCATTTAATATTTTTCCTCTCACCAAACCTCCATCTTCATCTGTGTGGGGATGAAGGAAAAACATTACCAGCCCCAGGCCATCTCCAACTCCCTTGTGCAGTGCCAGAGCTCTTCCCTGACTTCTCAGCTTCAGCTTCCCTATGTTTTCTCATGGCAGAAACAGCCCAACTTTTCCTCCTCCTCCTGGGTGCTGGGCATAGGCTTCTTGAAGGTGAAGTGAAAGAGACTCAGGTTGAGAGTGAAGAAGGATGGAGTAGAGTGGAGAGGTCATGTTTTCCAGTGGGCCTGGGGGAAATGACCCTGGAAGGACAGATAGATAGGAGGGGTGGAGAAGTCGCCCTCTATGTTAACATATATATTGATTGTGAAAAGCTGCCTCTGAGAAACAGCCATAACCAGGTTGAGAACTCGTGGATTAATATTAGGGACCAGACCAATAACAGACAACTGGTGGCTGAGATCTACTGCCTGCCACCTGACCAAGACACAAGTTGACAAGAGTTGGATTTAGACGATCCTTAAGGTCCTAAGCCATTCTGTGATTTTCCTGGAGCATCCTGTCCATTCCTCCCACCTCTGTGTCCCCAACCACAGCCACCACAAGTCTCCAGCATCCCTTTTCCTGGCCCACTGTGAAGTGATTTGGGTGTACCATCCTTCCCAAGTGATTCAAACTGAGGTTTGTCTCAGTTCAGCTGAACCTGACTCAGAGCTGAATTTAAAAGCACCGTACTGGTTTGATACCCTGAACTCAAATACTGACATATATTTAAAAAAGCAACAGGAAAATATGAGAATTAAAACGTAAAAATGCTGACACCATCAATTATACTTCTAGTCGATTAGTTGGCTTTTAAAAGGCAAATGTCTTTCATTCAGAGTTATGTACTATTTTTTTAACATACTGGCCAACATTCAAAAAAGCTGAGCTGATTTCAGTAGGTTTTTTGTCAGTCAGTGCAGTGGACAGATGTGCCCTGGATTCAGCCAGCCAGAAGCTGATTGAGTTTGATGGTGCTTTCTTTCGTAGCACTTTGCTCCTCTCACTGTGTTCCAGTGCCAGTGGTGTTTAGGTACTCTGACCTTCCACAGACAGGGGTAGGTTGCTGTGCACTGCCTCACCCATTTGGGACACTGCTGATTTTACAAATCCCATCTTTTTTCTTCTCAAAGCTTCTGGTCATGCTTTCCCAGAAACTTGCAGTGTTCCAGTTTTAGTAGGGATAGTGATTGAGCACTGCCTCACAGCCTGCATAGTATTTCCTTGAAGCTACTGGGGTCCTTCAAGGAGTGCCACGGTACACAAACTGCTTGTACTGGAAATGCTGGTACTGGATCCTACTAAATGTGGTCACTCCAAAATAAGGTCTCCAGATTCAGTAAGTAGAGTAGCAGTAAAGCGAATAATAATGATAAAGATCTTTACTGTAAACTACACACAGATCCTGAGCTGAGAAGTACCTACTTTTGACCACAGTAGAGGTCAAGTCTGTGATGCTAAGACAAGCCATTTGATCTGTGTCAGGTGTCTCTGAGGATGAAGTTCTTTCCTTGAGGTAAAGTAAATGACTGGTGTTTGTGGAGCAATTCAGAACTGGAAACCAATATTCTTATCTCAGGTGTTTGCCACATGCTTTTATATTACCCCCTATTAAATCCTTCTGTAGGGTTTGTGTTTGCCCAGTGCATCATGCTGAGCACTCCTATTCTCATTATTTGTTGTCCTGATTGACAGGAGGTGCACAGAGCAGTCAAAGAGTACCAAATGTGGACTTCACCTGTGTTTTCTCATGTGCAGGATCAGGTTTTAGGGAAACAAATTTCAAGCACCCAAGAAGGCCTCTGGAGCATAAACAACCAGAACTATCTCCTGCCAGATCTCCTCCAGCAAAGCCAAATTTCAAACGCTGCCGTGAACCCACCAAAAGTGCCACTGACTAACCAGGAACCTCAGAACAAATCTCTGAGTAAGGTATGAGATACATTTATAGAATGAACGAATTGTGCCACCATTTCCCTCTGGCCCACAGGAGTCGTTGAGTGCCATTTACATTTATCTCTCCTGTATCTTTCTACAGCGATATTGTCACCACAACCCTTCTTTTCTTTAAGAGTTTTGGTTAGGGGACCGATAGGAAATCCTGATTTCCACACCAACCTTTGCTTTCAGCGTTTTTGTCCCTTTTTCCACTTTCCCCCTTTCCACAAGCTAGCACTGTACCCTGTGCTCCCTTCCCTGTGTACAGTTAACAAATGTACAGTTGGAAGAGTAGCACCATTAGGATGGTATCTTACAGTAAGAAAGATTATCGTGGTGGAAATGGGGCCTAGGAGGTCACACATCTGAATTGCTTTCACCTGTGCTCCCACAGCTGACCCAGTCCTTGCCTCAGGTGATCAATCAGGGGTTCAGGCTGTGACTCAACAGTTCCCATACACCCTGCCTACATGAGTAGCACAGCCATGCCATGTCTGTGGGTTGCTTTCCATCCCAGTGTCAGGTGACTGCACAAGGCACAGACCAGAGCAGCATGCCTTGAGAAGAGCTCTGATACTGATATTGTCTCTGTGAGCACTCTGCTGGGCAGATGTGTGGCACTGGAAGCAGTTCACAGCTCTGTCATGATGCACACCCTGGGCTGTCTTATCTGAGGCAACAGCTTGCTCTTTGCTGCACAGAGGTTTAAGCAGCTCCCTTTTGCAGATGAGACAACAGGGAGTGATAAATGTGTGTGGAGGTTCTTTTGGGGACCAGTTACTTCGTTGCAGTGCCGTGCCAGATCAAAATGCTGACAGAACTCCCAGCCCAGGCCTCCTCTTGTCACTTGATTTGTGCCATTTATCCACTGCTCTAAGCACGCTCATCACATCTACTTATGTCACGTGCCATTTCATCTGAGCCTCAGAGGCACCTGCATTGCTGTGTGTGGTCTGCTCCCTAGTGACATCTTCCTGAAGCAGCTCTTGTGTTTCATTGCAGACCCCATCCACTGAAAGTACACCTTCAAAGAGCAGCACATCATCTACAACATCCTTCACGTCATTCATAGATCCTCGACTTCTGCCAATCACCCCTCCTACCAGTCCGGTAGGACCTCCCTGTAGTTCTTGTGAGTATGCTTTACAAAATCTCCTTCCTGACTTTGTTTTTTTGAGGGGAGGGAAATGGAGTGAAGGGTGGGAAGAACATGATTGCTTGGCAACAGTAAAACTGTTAATAACACCTACAGAAACTCACACTCCACATTACTATGAATTTCAGTGTCTTGCTTCTGCCCTTCTCCCAGATGTGGCTTGCTCTGCTCCACCTCACTCGCTCAGGAATGTACGAGTTTTCCGTATGTGTGGTCTTCTCTCTGGTTATGTAATGCTCCCCAAATTGTTTTCTTACCTCTCTGGATTTGTTTCATTCTGCCATGAACAGGTCAAATGTGGGATGTAGCCAAACATTTGCATTTTTTATGATTCCACATGTCTTCTTTTCCAGCATCGAGTGCAAAACCCGAGCCTGTCAGGAGAGAGAATGCAAGGAAGGGTTCTGTTGTCAATGTTAACCCAACAAATATCCGCCCACAGAGCGACAGTCCAGAAATTCGTAAATACAAGAAGAAGTTCAACTCAGAGGTCCTTTGTGCTGCTTTGTGGGGTAAGCTCAGAAGTGCTTGGGCAGGTGTGTAGAGGGAAGGCAGCAGCAGGAGTGGCTGGAGGTATATACCAGTTAGATTTCACAGTTGTTTTGCACCTTCCCTGTCAGAAAATCCTAGCACAGCTCACTGAGAACATGCCTGCATCACTCAGATGGCGCTGCGTTCCTGATGGGAGATGGCAAACAGATGAGTTTCAGTTGCAAGGAATTTTGTGCATCAGAATGAGAAAATGTTTTGATCAAGCACCAAACCGAAAGTGTGTTTGCTGGAAGAGCCAGAAGTTGCAAATGTTTTGGTAGCGTGAAGCAAAAAAAGGCTCATGATACTGTCTTATCTGCATGTCAGTACAGCTAATCATGCAGCCTCACCAGTGGAAGTTATCCAAACCAGGGATTCCAAGAACTTCTCCAAATTTTAACCGCCGCAGACTGAAGCAGGTCTGGCATCAGCCTTCCCGAAAGCCTGACTTCACTGGTTTCTACAGTCAGGACTTAGAACCTTGCTAAATGTCCATTTTTACAGGGCCAACACAACATAGCATGAAACCAAGATCAGTGTAGTCAGATCATTTTTCAGCAACTGTTGACCTACTCCCACTCTCCCTGTGGCTAAGCTCTCAAGTTGTTTCAGCCATCTGTCTACCTGTGAAGAACAGATGCATTCTATAGGTCTCACCCAGACTTCCACTCGTCATCACTTTGACTCCAGAATGGAAAATGAAGGAGGTGAAACATTATGCAGCAGAAATGTAGATGTCGAGTTCATAGCTTCACGAGTTTTGCATAGTGTAGGTTTGCAGTCCAAGATTTTAAATTAGGAACAGATTTATGTAACGTGGTCTGTAAATGACTGTGCATTGAGGTTGAAGAGTATCGGGTACTCATCAAAGCACAGCCAATGGAGAAGCTTGCTTGCTACAGCAGGAAATGTGTGTCATTTCTTTAGAACCTGCTGATTAGGAATGGCTGCCGTGTGAAGCAGTTGTACAGGGTGCATCCTCTGATGTTAGCAACCCACTGGAGCCTTCACTTCCCTGGGAGCAATTGAATTTCAGATAGATTCATTCCTTTAATTAAGCATATGAAAGCATTCTTGCAAAAAACAATTTTCAAACAGATATTCTGCTCATCTTTCTTCCAACGAGTCTAGCCCTCCTCCTGCAATTTGTGTTTGGGGGAAAGAAGGATTGTATGATTTTTGAAATTGGAAGAAATCCTTAGATCCTTCACTTAGACCTCCTGTGTTGGCAATAGAATGGTGCTAGACTCTCTTACAGTGCCGAGAAGTCCAGTTGAGTTGTATTTTTTTAATATGTTATAATTTATTTTTAAATCAATATTGATTTCAGTGGAACTGCTCATGCTTCAGATAACATGGGCATGTAAATGTTCTACTGGGTAAAAATCGTAATGGTGAGACTGGTTTTTTTTTCCTTTCATTTTTCTAGGAGGTCATTCACAGAGCAAGGGAGAAATATTAAGCTACCATTAAGAGGACTAAGTAAAAATCAATTCTGAAAAACAATTAACACTTGGTTTCTGAATCAGTGGGTGATCTAGGCAGTGTTTTTTTCTGTATCAACAGGAGTAAATCTACTGGTGGGGACAGAAAACGGATTGTGGCTTCTGGACAGAAGTGGGCAAGGAAGAGTTTATTCACTGATTACAAGGAGAAGATTCCAGCAAATGGATGTTCTGGAAGGACTCAATGTGCTAATTACTATATCGGGTTGGTTCCGTGTCTAAAAGTATCTGACCTACGTTGGGGTTGGAAGCAATTAGAGAAGAACTAGGTTATAAACTAGGTTGAGGAATTTCCTCTTACGGAAAATCACAAGATAGTTATTCGTGTTAATAGGAAAACTCTCTTGAATTTTTAATACTTACATTCTCATTTCAGATTCGCACGAGTCTCTGGGATATTTCATTACCTGTTTAATGTGTAAAATGGTTTCTGGGAGGTTACGTAGTGTTTCATCTTCTTAAAATGAACTGGTTCTCAACAAGTTATAGTCTATTAGTCCTTTCACATGTTTGCAAACATCTAAGTGCAGTTCTGTTAGAATGTAATTAAATAACCTCCTTCTGTGGCCAGTGCAATGTGTGAACACTAACAGAAGAGTGGTAGATACTGTGAAAGCATTGGTAACAGTAAAGGGAGTAGCACCTTCAGCCTGGTGGAGAGCTCGGACTTAGCCCTGCAAAGTACCTAGGCCTTTATTGCCTCCAGTTGAGAGCAGCCTTAAAAGAGTACAGAACAAAGCCAGAAGTCCAACAGGGGATGGCTGCCACTTTTCTACAGGCCAGGCTCACTGCAGTAGGTGATGGTGAGAGCTGTTTGTCCTGCATGGCCATTTCAGTGACTTGTGACGTGGTTCTCTAGACTGACCTGCGATCCCAGACTGCTGTTGATCTTACTTACAAACCAAAGCAATAGAAGGACTGAGATAAAAGATGACAAAGTAATTCTCACCCTGAAAGTCATCCAAAGGAGAACAGTTACCTGTAAAGAAGATTGTCAGTTAATTAGAACTTTGTTACTGATTCAAAATACCCATGTCATGTCTGTATTCCTTCCTTCACATCAGAGAGCCAGTGCCAGGCAATGTGATTATCTCTGATAATACATGTGTCTACAGAGACCTCTTCTTTGGCCTGGGGGAAGGATTTTAGTCAGATATTAAAATCTTACATGAAGTGTGAGTCACAGGTGCACATGTGCCACATGCTATGGCATTACTTGTATACCAGTTTGCTCCTGAGGGCCGAAAACTCAGGATCCTACTGACACCAGGCTTTTCTTTTGTTCTGCTGGGCTCTTCTCTCACCATGGCAGGGCACGACAAACTGCTGTACTCAGGTCACAAAACTCCAGGTGCTTTGTTTGTTGTTCTTTTTTTAATGCGGAGGAGATTTTGTGCCTCATTGAGTCGTTATGTCTTTATTCATTTTATGTGTTTATTTTCAAACCCCAGGGAAGAAGAATAAGTTGAGAGTGTATTACCTGTCATGGCTGAGAAATAAGATTCTGCGCAATGATCCAGAGGTGGAGAAGCGACAAGGCTGGGTGTCTGTGGGTGACCTGGAAGGCTGTGTACACTACAAAGTTGGTGAGGTCATTTTTTGTTCTTTCCTTGGAGAGCTGCTTAATCATCCCTTTGCATCCCATGCCACTGGTGTTTTTCTTCAGCTGTGTTTCAAAACTGCATTAGGCTGACTTCTTTTAAACCTCCTTGTTTTACATGGCAGATGCTTTGCTGCCTGTCAGTCCAGATCACATCTCTCCTTGCATATGGTGTTGTGGCTATGTCCTGTGAAAGCTGGAAGAAGGGAATACCAGCACTGTTCAGCTCAGCCAGTGGTTTAGAAATACTGTAGTTACTTACTTAAGACTTTAATTAGGCTGATGTTTTCCACTTCTGTGCATCTGCTTCTGTCTTGGCCCTGAGTTAGCTGCTAGTAAGCTGAAGTAATAAACTGCTAGTAAATTGTATTTGTACAATGTCCATAGGCGGATGAGATTGGATGCCCCAGACCTCGTGTCTAGTTCTTAGGGACCTAAACATACCACTGTTTAAACTTAACCACTGGAAATGGTGCTACAGCAGTTGAAATATTGTTTTGCTTTTATTTGGCTTTCAAACAGTTCATTCTTGGAGATGAACTATCAGTATTGTGATTGTTTCTGTCTCTTAACTGTGTGAGAGGGTGTAAAGTATAGCACAAGTTTTGCTTTGAAATATGGTATATGAAAGTGGTGTTTTTATTCAAAAACAAAGATAAGTGATACAAAGGAGTGCAGGAAACAGTGAGGTGGTTGATTCTCATAAATGCTTTGCTTGACGTTTCTTTGCTTTTACATCTCATTAAAAGTGGTGAGGGTTAAATCCAAGTGAGAATACGTAGCAGATGTGTTGTTTCCTTTGCGGTTAGAGCTGAACACCACATGTTCCACTTCAGTTGCTCGTTTTTGGGTTTGGTGTGTTTAAAAAAGAAATAGTTATTCTAAAATTAGGCAAACATTTGTGAGCTTGTGTTCACATGTGACAAGCCAGTGTCACTGCTTTGACAAAGGCTCTGTCGCTTACCTGTTGGTGGACCTTCTTAGAGGTTCCCATCTGCTTTTACAGCCATTTGTCCTGCTAAGGAGAGGTTGGGTTGCTCTGTGTGTCGGTATGTTTTGTTCATTTGTTTTTGTTTTTCCCTTTCTCATCCTTATGCTTTACACTTCTGCTCTACGTTTGGGTCGGTGTGAACTGCTCCTGCTGCAGGCAGCAACGCACCTTATCGTAGAATCATAGAATCATAGAATCACCAAGGTTGGAAAAGACCTAAAA